GTGGCCGCAGGGGCGGCGTCGGTGGTGCGGGTGCCCTCGGACGTCGAAGTCAGTGTCGCCCTTGAAAGGCCAAGGGCAACCGTTGACGCATTCCTGGGCTGGGTCGTCAGGGTGGCATGAGTGGTTGCATCGGTGGATCATGTGGAGCAAGACCAAGTCACGGAGTCTACCAGGTTCTGGTGGGACCTCGCAAGAAATCACAGCGTCGACCTCCTCGGCTGTGGTGGGTGGGTCAGTGCGCGCGAGGACAATATGTGCGTGCGGCAGACCTCGTTTCTGGCACTCGATCACGCGGATGACGTACTGGCGCTGGCCGCAGAACTCCGACTTGAGGTACCCCATCATTTTTTCGAGACGTCCGTGGAACACCCGTACCGTGATGTCAGGGCGGTCGGCGGCCGTTTGTCCGGGAGCGAGTGCGTCTTTGATCTCTGGCCAGTGGGGGTTGCACGTAAGGGTGATGAAATAAGTTGGGGGGCCTTTCCGGCGCGCCAGTTCCAATGCGTCCACTCGGAGCTGCTTGAGATGGCGCGGAGAGCCAGGGACAGTGGAGGGGAGGTAGTACTTGGTGCCAATTGCGCTGGTGGGGATGTGTTCGTTGGCCAGAGCCTCGCACAAATCTTTGCGGCTGGCAATGCGAGTGCTTTGCTCTCTCCTGACCAGCGACGGCCTTTCGTCCTCCATCCGGCAGTGCATGTTGATGAGCCAGTCGTTCAACAGACGCCCGCGCGCGTGCATGTGGGGCTGGCGGAGGAGGTGCTGGCGGTGCCACCACATCTGCATCACGTGGTTGCCGGATGTGGACACGGCGTCGGTGCTCCACCCGCGGCCGCCGCATGGGAACCACAGCGGGTAACTCAGAGGCTCGTAAAGGCACTGCAAGGGTGAAAAGTATTGTGGGCGGGAGCCTGGCGTCAAACGGAAGCACGCTGCCCTAGGTTCGGCGATGGCGTCGGGGCGTTGCTGCACTACTGCGGCCACTTCTTGGATGCCTTCGTCCCAGCGGAGGGTGACGGAAGCCTGTGGGGCACGGGGCCACACGGATTTGAGGTGCTGAACGTGCTGCATGTGCGGATTGTGCGGTATGATGAGCTTCTCCAGCTGGGAGACGATGGACAGGTCGAGGCCGTGCTCGCGTGCGCAAGCGCGGCGTTCGCGGTCGTCCACCACGAGGTACCGGACCGGCCCAGAGTCGGCAGCCGAGTACACTTTCCTGTACATGGTGCCGTGGATGCAAATGAAGGATGGTCTCAAGACGCTTCCAAATCGGACTTCTCGTTCAGGAGTGGCGCTCTGGACTTCGTGGGCGGCGAGGCTCAGCAAGCTGTTGTAACGTCGAGAATCGGCAGTGAAACCCGTCAGCTTTGGTGCGATGGTGGTGTCGTCGTGCACGAGCCGGCCGTGCGTGTCGGTAACTGGCCACGTCCGTTGGAACAGCTTGAGCAAGGAGGAATCGGGCTGGGGGTAGCAGCTGTTAAAGTCGACGACGTATTTCCCATGACCGCAACAGAAGCCGCTCATCTCGCGTTGGAACAGGAATGCGCCGCAGTGCGAGCATTGGTGGTCCTGGCGGCCCAAAGACAGAGTTTGTACTGTGCTGGAGGGTCGGCCGGGCATTGTGCAAGCGCGGCACACTCCGAGTAATAAGTGGCGGTGGCCGGTTCCGAAGTCGTCATGAGGGAGGACCAAGCCGCATTGAGCGCATGCTGCGGTCTGACGGCCTCTAGCAATGCAAATGGCGCAGACGGGGTCAGAGGCGACCGCGCCTCGTACGGCGAAAGCGTCGGTCGGTTTGGTGTTTCCGCAGCTTACGCACGTGAAGGCGTGGGATGACCGAGGCGTCTGAGCGTCCGTGGCAGCGGCGACACGCTGGATACATTTCTTCGTCTGTCTCCGCCGTTGTCTGCTACTGAAGCTGTCTCGGGGCAAATCGTCCCCACAGCCTGCGCAGAGTAAAGTAGGCTGGGGGCTGGCAGGGTTGGCGCTGGCCGCGCAACGGACGCACTTTCTAGTGGACCGCCGTCTCTGTTCCGTGCTGAAGTCAGACTTGGGCCAATCCTGTTCGCACACAGTACATCGAAGCATGTCTGCCGTGGACATGTGTGAGACCGCTGGAGCCCAAATGTTCACGGAGGAGTGGGAGGAGGAAGAACGCCAGATGGGTCTTTCGGAATATTCTGCGTGTTGTGTCCGGGTGCGCGCTCTCCCCCACAGAACTCTTGGGGGCCTCCGGGGGCCTCTTGGGGGCCTCCTGGGGGCCTCCTGGGACATCCTGGGGGCTTCTTGGGGCCGAGGGCCCGAAAAACCAATTCGGATCGGCCGTCTTGGGGGCCTCTTGGGCCGGCGTGGGCGGCTCTTCGGCCGTCTTGGGGGACCCTTGGGGGCCTCCTGGGCCGTCTTGGGGCTCTCTTGGGCCGTCATGGGGCCCCCATGGGTGCCTCTTGAGCCGTCTTGGGGCCCTCTTGGGCCGTCATGGGGCTTCCTTGGGGGCCGCTTGGGCCGTCTTGGGGCTCTCTTGGGGGCCTCCCGGGCCTTCTTGGAGCGTCGGAAAGCCGAAAAAGCGAGAAAGCCAAGAAACATTGGAAAAACCAATGAGAATCAACGATTTTCGCCTCATGGGGCCCTCTTCGGAGGCCTTTTGGAGACCGCTTGGGGCGTGTTGGTGGCCTCTTGAGGGCGTTCCGGGATGTAATGAGATCTCTTGGGCCCTCTTGAGGCCATGTAAGTCCCGCTTGGAGCGCTTTGAAGGCGTTCGTTGAGCGTCTTGGCGGCTTTTTGTGCCGTCTGTGGTACTGTTTGGAACGTCTGGGACCGATCGTGGGCCGTCTGGGCTGCCTCTTGGACCATTTTGGGTGCGTCTTGGGGCTCCTTGGGGGGCCCTGGAGGGGTGTGTGTGGGCGCGCCCCCCCCCCCCGGATCTCATGGGGGGGGTTCCCGGTGTAATTTTATAGGATAAAGGAATATATATATATATAGAGAGAGAGAGAGAGCGAGAGCGAGAAACAAACAAAACTAAACAACAATGATAAAACAAGATAACGAGAAAGACAGACATAGAGGTCCCTCTCTCTCTCTCTCTATATATATATGTATATTCTTAAATCCGCCGACCCTGTCGGCGTGTGGAATGGGTTGTTCTTCTCGTCCGTGCCTCCTTCCCTTTCCCACCTTCTCCGCCTCCTTCTTGTTCGTCTCCCCCTCCTCCTCCTCCTCCTCCTCCTCCTCCTCCTCCTCCTCCTCCTCCTCCTCCTCCTTCTCATCTCTTTCCTCCTGCGTAAAGTAAATTGACTCGAAAGGTTTCCCCTTCCCTTTGTTCCCTTCCCCGGCCGGTGGGGGGGGGGGTCCCGGGGGAAGCCCAGGGGGGGGTCCTGGGGGGGGTCCCGGGGGGGTGTCCTGGGGTGGGTCCCGGGTCAGAATACCACCTCCCTCCTCCTCCTCCTCCTCCTCAGCGTCTTTTGCCACCTCCTCCATCTCCTTTTCGTTTGTCTCCTCCTCCTCCTGGGGGGGACCTGGGGGGTCCTGGGGGGGGTCCCGGGTCAGAATACCACCTCTCTCCTCCTCCTCCTCCTCCTCCTCAGCGTCTTTTGCCACTTTCTCCATCTCCTTTTCGTTTGCCTCCCCCTCCTCCTCCTCCTCCTCTTCCTCCTCTTCCTCCTCCTCCTCACACACTTCCTCCGCCTGCCCTGTCACGTTGTCCTTTAGTTCCTTCCTGTGATCACACATCCTGTCGCCATCGACGGCCAAAACCTTCAGGGTCGGCGGCACCGGCCATAAGGCCTTCCCAATACATATATATATATATACATATAGAGAGAGAGGGGGGGAGAAACAGAGGGATAACCAAACGAGATAAAGAGAGAGAGAGAGAGAACGAGACACAGAGAGAGAGAGAGAGAGACAGACGGAAAGACGGACAGTCGGATATATATATATATATATATATATATATATATAGATAGATATACAGGACGAGAATGGGGGGGGGCTTGGGGAGGGAGTGAGGGAAGAGAAAGATGATGAGGCGGCGGAGTCGGACAGTGGGAGGCAACAGCAGCTGGCGACCACACCACCTGCACCTGGTGGCCAGAAGACACACCCGAGTTGTTTCCCCCTATCTTCATTCCTCCTCTCCCCTCCCCATTCTGATCTTCTCTCATCCTCCATCTCCCCTTCTACCATGTGCTTTAAGAAGAAATACTTGCACAGGTTGTGCAAGGGTAGTTGTGCAGGGGGGATCGCCCAGGATTTGCATCAGAATTCGTTTTTTCGGTACCTATTGTCACCCAAGCTAGGCACTGCCTGAACGGATCTTACCACTTTGTGAAAAGAATTGGTGGCTGGGGCGCCTAACTGGCCTGCGCTCCCCAAGCTCCTTGACCGGCTTGACTCCGTGTGCCCTGGTCGTGGTTCCTTGCTGCCTTCATCAAATTCGTTGGTATGGGTTCCGTGGTTCATTGGTCGTGGTCCCTTGATCTTGGTTCCTTGCTGCCTTCCTCGGATTCCCTGGTCGTAGTTATTCGGTTCCGTGGTCTTGCATACTTGGTCCTTTTGATCCCTGGTCGTCGTTCCGTGCTGCCCTCCTCGGGCTCCTCGTTCTTGGTCCCTTAGTAGTGGTTCCTTAGTTCCTTGCTGCCTTCCTCCAATGTCGCGGTCTTGGTTCCGTGGTTCCTCGGCTTATTGGTGTGGCATTGTCCGGCATTGCCACGCAATGCCAAGCAACTCCACGCAATGCCACGACGTGCCCAGCAACATGCCCAGCCATTTGCCACGCAATCTGCCGAGCAATGGGCCAACCACTATGCCGAACAACGCGCCCGTGCAACAGAACACTGTCCCCTGCTTTGGGTCGCGCCGGGCTCATTCCCACAACAAAGAATACTAGCTCCCTCCTCGCACATCCTCCCGCTCATCCTCCCCCTCCTCTGCCTCCACCTCCTCCTTCCGACCCCCCTCTTCCCGGGGCGGCAGAAGAACGAGCGCGTCCAAAAACTGCTGCCGTCCTGGGCGGCCGCAACTGCCGCCGTCCTGCGCGGCGGAGTCACGTACCTGGGGGGGCGCGCTCGTGGAGGGGAGAGCTCGGCGACAGGGCAGGCGGGGCGACGGGGGGGGAGGGCAGAGAGGCGACGGGGAGGGGCAAGCTAAGTGCGCTCGCGCCACAGCTGGCATCTGGCCCCCCCTCTCACGCACACCCCTTCCCGCTGCGCTGACCTGTTCTCTCCTGCACCCGCCGGCTGGTGTCAAAATGGACCTGGAGCTCGCAAAAAAGACGTGACCATCCCATGCGCCGTTAGAAAAAGGAAGCCGTGCACATTGGAGGAGGTGGCAGATGAACGCGACGAGGAGCGGGGGAAGCAACGTGAGGATGAGGAAGGAGCAGGGCGAGAAGGAGCAGCAGTACCAGCAGCAGGGGCAGGAGCAGGAGGAGGGGGGAGCAGCAGGGAGAGCCGGCGGACCAGTGGAAGGCGGGGGAAGGGACGCGAGCGGGGCGACGACGACGACGACGACGACGAGGCAGGGGAGAGGGGGAAACGTAGGAGACGAGGCGAGGGGACACGAGGAACTGAGGCAAGAGAGGGCAGGAGCGTTGGCACCGCTCCTCCTCCTCCTCCTCCTCCTCCTCCTCCTCCTCGGCAACCGGGCCCCTGGGCAAGCGCACAGGCAGGCCAAACTACGGCGAGTGCCACAGTGTCCTGGACTCGGGCGTGGGCTGACACGATTCGGAGAGGATGATGGGAGAGGGGGGGATGGGGGAGGAGGGGAGGGAGGGGCGCGAGGGCATCCAGCTGGGTAAGATAGGCAGGAGTGCCAGGGGAGGAGGGGGATGCATGAGGGAAGCGGGAGGGCGATGGCGGGAGGCGAGAGAATGGAGAGGGAAGGACAAGGAATAGGGGCAGGATGGGAAGGGATGGGGGTCTGAGCGGGACTGCGGAGCAAAACGGCTCGTCGGAGGGATGGACGCGAAAGACACACTGCCCTCTCTGCATGGCGCCACAGGGTGCTTCCTCTTTTTTCCTGTTCTCGGCAATCATGTGCACAGGGGGGCGCATCGTATTCGAGGAGGACGCGACGTAATGGATGTAAGGATGAGGAAGGAGGACATCATAATACGGAGGAATATGTGTCCGATTCCTTTTGTTCACAAATTATGTTCGCCCCCCTAGACGCACGGCTGTTCAAACATGGGCCAAAAGCATGGCATGCAACACGGGTGCATCGAATCATGTGCATCGATTAATCGATTCGACCCCACGTTGCGGAGTAGGGGGCGCCGATGCGGGGAGGGGCGGGGCGTCATCGGATTGGTCAGAACCGCGCGCATACATCGGCACGCATGATCGACCCGATAGATTTGACCCACGTTGGATTATTTGTTGTGCAACCTTCCCTCTCTCGTGTGTTCCCCTGGTGTTCCGTGTCCTCGCCCTCCCCATACACGGCCTTGTGTTCTCGTATTTCTCTCACCAGGAAGAAGCTCTTCCAATTATCAGGAGGACGGTGAAGGCAGGGATGGGGTCTGCAGAGCGGAAGCCTTTTCCTGTAGACTTGTGCTCGAAATGTCAATGCGCATATCGTTTTTTCCAGAGCAACATCGCACGCTGTGCTTTTGGACCCGTTTCGCTTTAATTGCGGTACGGCGGGGAACTGTAATCCCACCAGCCCTTTGGGCGTGAGTGGTTTAGAGAGCCCGCTCTGTCCTCAACCCCCCTTCTTCCCCTTCGGGGAGGGGTTTACCCCTCCCCCTACCCCCTCCCCCTGGGCCTGGAGAGGGGCCCCGGCGGGTGGTCACGGGGGTCTTTTTCGACTCCTGGGAGGGCAAAAAAACTACGACCTTCACGAGGATTCTGGCCCCGACGGGGGGACGGAGTTTGGCCCCTCTGCTCTTCTTTGAAGCCAGAATCATTGATTTTACTACGGTTTCGGCCCCATGTTGGCGTCCTGAGGGGGCCGCGCTTATCTTCCTTCATAGCAAAATTACTCATTTTATATAGGTTTTGGGCTCATGTTGTCCTTCTCAGGGGGCAGCGCTCACTTGCGCTTCTGAGGAGGTCGCAAGAGGCCCCAAGCTGGCCCCAAGAGGCCCCCAGGAGGCTCCCAAGAGGCCTCCAAGAGGCCCCCAAGAGGCCCCCAAGAGGCCCCAAGATGCCCCCAAGATGCCCCCAAGATGCCCCCAAGAGGCCCCAAAAGGCCCCAAGAGGCCCCCAAGAGGCCCCCAAGAGGCCCCCAAGAGGCCCCCAAGAGGCCCCAAGAGCCTCCATGAGGCCCCCAAGAGGCCCCACGAGGAGCCCGAACGACTCACACCAGGACGAGGGGCCCGAACGACTCACACCACGAAGAGCCCGAACGACTCACACCATAAGGAGGTGCCCGAACGACTCACACCAGGACGAGGAGCCCGAACGACTCACACCACGAGGAGCCCGAACGACTCACACCACGACGAGGGTCCCGAACGACTCACACCACGAAGAGCCCGAACGAGTCACACCAGGAGGAGGGGCCCGAACGACTCACACCAGGACGAGGGGCCCGAACAACTCACACCACGAGAAGCCCGAACGACTCACACCAGGACGAAGAGCCCGAACGACTCACACCACGAAGAGCCCGAACGACTCACACCAGGAAGAAGGGCCCGAACGACTCACACCAGGACGAGAAACCCCAAACGACTCTAACCACGAGGAGCGCTTTCTCTCCCTCCTCCTCCGCCTCGTCCTTCTCCCGCTGCCCCCACAAGGAGGATGTACAAGGAGGCGGGAGGAAGCAGGAACAGGGGAGATATGCGGGGCCAAGCGTCGGCTACTGCCATTCTGTTCAGCAAAAGTCCGCGGCGTCGCCATTGACCGCTACCGTTTTGGCCCCGAACGCGTGAACAGTAGCGCGAGGAGGGGGGTCGGCATGTGGCAGATCGCGGCGAGCTCTAGTCGCATTCATTAACATATTCGACTGCCAAGCGCTTTCATTTCGCACAGCCGCCGCCCGCGCCCACCCTCTTCCGCGCAGAGCGCGCTCCGATCTGCGAGCAGCCAATGCACTGACCCCCATGCGAGGAAAACGGTTCGCCCGCGGCCCTCGGAGCCCTCCGGGGGTCCCTTCACGGTGAAGTCGCTCACCCTGGATCCGCTGCTCGCCCTCCCGCGTCCCGAACACAGCCCCGGGAGGCCGCACCTCGAACCTGCCCGCCTTCCCTCCTCCTCGTCCTTCTCCTCGTCCTCCTCCTCCTCCTCTTCCTCGTCCTCCTCCTCCTCCTCCTCGTCCTCCTCTTCCCCCCCTCCTCGCCCCATTCCTCCTCCTCCCTGCCGGCCGGACCCGGTGCCGGGCCAGCTCTGACGCCCGGACGGCTCCGACCTCACCCGGGGCGGCAAGAGCACACTGCAGGCGCCACCAGCACCCCGTCCGCGGACCGCGTCAGCGACGACGGCGCGAAGGCGGGGGCGCCGGCCGCGGCCGCAGGGGTCGCGTCGCTCCGAGGAGACGACTCCGACCACCCTGCGCGGGGTGCCGTAAGGGGCAGCTCTCATGGGAGATCTCCGCGGAGAGGCGTGGAGTTAGACATGCAGTCGAGGCTGACGGTACGGATGCACGGTGGGGATGCAAGGGCCTTGGGCGCCCGTGCCGAGGCTCCTCGAGCGGGGCCCGCCATCGAGAGTGGCTGAGGATGGACGAAAGATGACCGGGGAAGCAAGGATGCAAGGGTACAGTCGACCCGCCTGGTAAGGATGGGCAACCTTCCCAAGGGTACCCTTGCATCCTTCCCTCCTCGGTCCATCCTGGGCCACTTTCGTTGGCCGCGCCCCGCTCGAAAAGCTTCGAGATGGCCTTCCAAGGCCCTTGCATCCTTATCGAGTGTCCTTATAATACGACTTGACTGTACCCTTGGGAAGTCGATCATCCCTACTAGCAATTTCTCTGTTACCGCGGCCTGGGGGATCGAGCTTCGGGGGCCTCGGCAGGCGCTGGATCTGAGCAGAGTTCCCCCCCCCCCCCCCCACATCCAGGGCCCGAATCCACATCCACAGCCCGTCAATGGACCCCAAAGCTCGATCCCCCAGGCGGTGGTTATGGATAGATCCCTGCTTCAGAGGGAACGACTGAGGCCTACCTATTAAGCCCGATCGAGGAGCCATTACGCCAAATAAAACACAATGTCGAGCCACAATAAACGGGATTGAGCCGGATTGAGCGGAATTCGGCCAGAGTAGGCCGCTTTTTGACAACGGATATCAGCGGATGTGCCAGCGCCAATGCTGAATTTAAACCTTCCCGAAGGTGGAATGGAAGAGGTGGACGGTATAGAGGCAGCGTGGCAGATATAAGCTCAGGAGAGGAACAGATGCCGATGCCGTTGCCCGTTTGTCGCTGCCACGGCTGAGTTTGCCCCAGAAATCCTGCCCTCGTAGCGCGCCCTGGGGAGAGGGCAGAGTAGCGGCGCCGGCATCTGCGCCCTCAATCGTGGCGTCTAATAGGACGAGAAAGCTGACACGATACGACCTTCCAAGAATCCTGGAGCATCTCGCGGCCCTCGTTCCCGAAACCCGCGTGGCGCATCCGGGAAATCAGGGGGTCCTTGGAAACCTGGGGCATGGAAATCCTGGAACGATTCCCTATCATGACCTCGTGCTCCCTGCAAGACAACGCGCGGCAGATCAATTCGCCATGAAGCCGACGGCACCCCGCTCCTCCCACCTCTGGGCCCGCCGCCAGCGGCGCCTGGCCTCGCCCACACGCCCCCGCGGCGCCGGTGCTCCGCTCACGGAGCGGGGCCACCCAGGAGCCCGAAATAGAGAGAAGAAAACCCTTTTTGTTTTTTTTGTTTTGAGAGAGAGAGAGAGAGAGAGAGAGAGAGAGAAAAAAAAAAAAAGAAGAAAACCCACCGTCAAAAGAATCACCCCGACACGCAAAGCCGTTTGGCAGACACACCCCGGAAGGGAATCGAACAGGGCAAGGCTGCTCAGTAAACGCCCAGGGCCATCTCGGGGGCCTCTTGGGTCCCTATTCAAGCTAGACTGGGCCATTTGGGGACCTTCTTGACGCGTCAAAAGCGCATAAGAAGCGAAAAGGCGAAAAGGCGAGAGAAGGCCAACATTATTGACTTTCCTCAGGCGTGATTGAGATATCGGAGCCCACTTCGGCATCCGAAGCCGAAACGACGCGGAATCGGACGCCATCGAAATCGGATCGAACTGAGGGAACGATCGGGGATCGAAATCGAAGCCATCGAAATCGGATCGAATCGACATCGGAGCCATCGAGGCATCGGGACTCGAAGCGAGCCCCGTAATGATTCCCTGCTGGCCACGGCCAGGAGGGCCTTCACGCCAGCCTTATGTCGGGCGTGTCCCCCTACAGGAGGACTTCGACGAAAAAATGAAAATACACCCAACATATCCCAAAGAGGCGACAAAAATACCCCAAAACATACTCAAGGCAAAAAGGCCAAACAAAATACCCGCTATGTTTGGAGCATGCTTCGACTATGTCGTTTGTTTTTATCTGTCGTCGAACATCCCCCTGGTCGGGAGCGGCCAAGAGGGGGGTGTCCAAGAGGGGGGGGGTGCAACTCATGACCGGCGGCATGTCGGCGCGGCCCGGCGGGGGGGCCGGGAACGCCATGAAATGAGAGGAGGCGCCATGAAAGCTGGGGAGACATCATGGCCCCCGCCACGAGCTGCACCCCCCCCCCCTTAGTCCTCACCCCCCCCCCTCTTTTCCGCCCCCGACCTGCAGGGGGACAGGCCCCCTGTAGGGTCGGGCCGGGCGAAAGGGGGGGGATAGCAAAGGGGGGGGTTGAGAATCAGCTCACGTAGCTGATTCTCCCGGCGCCTCCCGGCGCCGGAGGCGGCTATGTATCGAGGAATGGGCCCCTCGGTGAGGCCGAAACCAGCTGCATGCAGCAATTTCGTAACCCCCCCCTTTCCCAATCCCCCCCTTTCGCCCGACCCGAATGAGATGCACCCCCCCCCCTGGTCCTCACCCCCCTCTTCTCCGCCCCTGACCTGCAGGGGGACAGGCCCCCTGCAGGGGGACCGCCCCCCAAGGGGGCGGCGGCCCACGGTCGGGGATGGATAGACCCCCCTTTAGTAAAACGTGGTTTAGTGAAAACGACCTGAGGCCCAAACCTGGCGGGCGCAAGCCTGGAAAATAAGGGCCGCGGCGCCATCTCGAGAACCGAAAACGGACAATTCACTAATCGACGTGTCACTGTTGGGGGTTCTGTCCGCCCCCGACCCTGTAGGGGGACCGCCCCCCAAGGGGGCGGCGGCCCACGGCCCCCCCCTAATGAGGCGCCCCCCCGCCCCGGCGAGGAGGCGCAGGGCGGCCGACGCCCGCTGTGCCCCTCGGGCCATCGGGGGCCCCTCCTCGGGCCCAGCGCGGGCCCGACGAGGGAGCAGCACAAAAACGACGCGAAGCTCGGGACAAAATCGGATCGGGAGAATTCGAAATCTCTGAGGATCGGCGGGCTTGGAGGATGTAGTGGGCGCCGCGGCCGCTCCAGAGCGTTCCGGAACGCTCTGAGAGCGCTCCGGAACGCTCCATGGAGCGATTTATCCCGATCCTAGCCCTGTTTTGCAGCACGAGCCCCCTCCCCCCCCCCCCACTCACGCTCACACGGGCCGACGAGGCCAAGAACCTGGAATCCGTTCCACCAGCCCCATGCCTACATCCCCTCTCCTCCCTCCTGGGGTCGGAGGGCCTGTTGCTCCTCTTTTTCCTCCTCCTCCTCCTCCTCTTGCTCCTCCTCCTCCTCAACCTCCTCCTCCTATCCCTCCTGGTTCGCCCTCCGCCCCTCCGCGCGTATAAGAGCAACAACCTGCGAAAACCAATTTCTAGCGCAAGAGGGTATGAGTGAGGGGGCCCTGGGACACACACAAGTAAATACACACAAATAACCATATTCCCTATATATTCCCAGATTTCCTGCGTTACTGTCTTCCCCCCACTTCCCATATTTTCTGGGGAATCGAGGATTGATTGTGTCTGTGTGATTTTTCCCCTCCTGAATGATATCCAACAAACTCGAAACTCGAAGCTCGATCGTCGAGACCGCTCCCCGGGCCCAGGCCAGAATTTTTGAAGGGAATTGAGCCGTGGCGACGAGAAGCCCCACGGATGACACACACACACACAAACAACGCGCGATCAGCCATATTTTTCCTTAAGAAAAAAACGCAGCGTCGATGCTCCAGCTTCGAACATCTCTACCTTTGTGCTCCGGAGCGCCACAGATCGCTCGACCACCCCCCTGGTCTGGGCAGTCGGCCGTCCCGGGACCAAGCCTTAGATGCTCATTCTGGGGACCTTCCTGGAGCCATTCGCTCCACTCGTGCGTCGAAGCTGCGTCGAACCTGAGTCGAACCTGAGTCGAACCTGAGTCGAATCTGAGTCGAATCTGTGTCGAACCTGAGTCGAACTTGAGTCCAACCTGAGTCGAACAGATCCATTAGCTGGGCCCCAGGAAGGTCCCCAAAACGAGCATCGAACAAGCCTGTCCCTGGGGCTCGGGAGCGCCCCCCCGCGCGGAGAGACCGCCGAGACCCCATACCCACAACACGGACGACACACAACAGCCCCAAACCGAAGCGAAATCCTCCGCCGCACGCCAGGGACTCCATCGCCGCCTCGCTCCCCCCCGGGGGGCGCGGAGGGCCGCCCGACGGCGTGGATGCGAGGCTGGCTCTGATCTGGCTGCGCGCAAGAGCGACACTCGGCGAGAGTGGCCTCTGGCGCGCAGCTGCAAGGTGGCCGCCAGGGGGGGAGGCAGTTCCACTCCAAGCGCGGCAAAACAGCACGACCCGAGCCTCCGATCCCACTTGCACTTGGCACCTCTCCAGCCGGACCGGCCCGTGAGGGCCCAGGGGCCCCGAAAAGCTGGGGGGGGACGCGCGGCTCCCAAAACGAACGCGCGTGCGACGCCAGGATCGCAGAGCAAGGCCTCTGCGGAAAAGGGCCGCTCTTGCGCGCGGCCGGGGCTGGTGTGCACCAGCGAAGCCGCGGAGGGCGAGCCTGGCTGCAGCGAGGCCGCCATCCGGGTGGCCGGGCTGCCCGTAGCCTTCGGGCGGCGTTTTTTTGCGCCGCCGCTCCCGCGCGGCTGGCTGCCCACCCCTGGGGCAGACGAGGCAGGGCTGTGGGGGGGGGGAAAAAAAAAAACACCTCGCTTGTATTCGACGTTTCGGCATTGGGCGCGAGCGGGGGGGAGGGGGCGGGTCTGGCTCCGGACCTCTGCTTAGAGCGACAGTTTGCAGCAATGCGTCCTATCGGGGAGACCCCACCTGCCCGAAACAGGCACCCAAAACAGCCAAGATCTACTCCGTAGGGGGAGATAGGGGGGCGCGAGGGGCCCCGCGCCACTCGGCAAAATAATAAGAAAAAAGACACCTGGGACCTTCTGTTAGTAAAAGAAGAAGAAGAACAAGAATAATAAAAATAACAATAAAGAAACATAATAAGAACAACAGTCATGAACATAAACTTTTGTAGGGGGAAAACAAACCTACCTCGCTTTTGACCACCCTCGCTTCCAAGAGATACCAAACGATGCCAAATTGCAGCCTGTACTGATCAGGCCGCTTGACGAGGAGGCGCTCGGTATGGCTTGGTTTTGCCTGGAAGCGAAAGCGGGGTAGGTAATTAACGCTCTGATTTTGGGCGCTCCCCTCCAAGCAATTCCCGCGTAGCGCCAAAAGTTTGTGTTTATGGCGACTTTTGTGTTCCTCGATGTTTCTCTTTCTTTTCCTGCGGCCAAGAGGCCGCAATCCACGCGCTCGCTGGTCGCGTGCCGGCACAACCCCCCAGTGCGAGGCACCGGCCCCCCAAGCGCCGCCGCTGGTCTGGTTGGCGCCGGGCAAGCGCGCCCGGCAGCCAGCCAGCGGCCGCTCTCGGGAAGGGAGGGGTTACGCCAGCCAGGGCCGAGAGTCTCGACTCCTCTCCTCCTGCTCCTCCTCCTCCTGCTCCTCCTCCTCCTCCTCCTGCTCCTCCTCTTGGTCCTCCTCCTCCTCCTCCTCCTCCTCCTCCTCCTCCTCTTCCTCAACCTCCTCCTCCTCCTCTTCCTCCCCCTCCTCCTCCTCCTCCTCCTCCTCCTCCTCCTCCTCCACCAACCTTCCTCCTCCTCCTCCTCCTCCTCCCCCTCCTCCTCTTGTCCTCCTCCTCCTCCTCCTCCTCCTCCTCCTCCTCTCCCCTCCCCCCCTGCTCATCGCCCATCCCCCTCCGTAGCCATTTTGGCTCAAGGCTCATGCTTTTGCGGGCTGGGCCCGTATTGGCTTTCACGGATACCGCTAGACCGCGGCAGTGCCAGAGCGCTTGCGCTCGACAGCGTTCCGCCTACACCGAGGGGTTGGGCTCCCTCATCAGTTTTGTCGCCACGGCCGCGCTGCCTAGCTACGGTACGGCCATCGCGGCCCTTGTCTCTCGTTCATCGCGGGCTTCATGGCGCCGCCGAAAGGTGGTGCGGCAAGAGACAGGGCAGCACGGGCCCAGCGTTGGGTGTGCAGGCACTGCGCACATGAGAAAACGGGTGAGCCCTGGCACAATCATGCAGATGCTGCTTCTTGCTTCCTGTGTGGTGGGGCCAAGGGACGAGTATACAAGTGCGATCTACCTTCTCCCACGCCCAGTGTTCGTGCTCCTGCTGCTGGGGACAATGCACGGGCGGTGCTGGATGCTAAGGATAAGGAGTTGGCGGCCCTTCGGAAGCAGGTGCAGCAGCTCTCTCGGACCAGGCCGACCGAGAACGTGCAGCAATCGCCTCCGCAGTCGGATGCAGCCACCACTAAGGATGACGCGCAGGGCAAGCAGCAGGAGCTGGACGCGCTGGAGCAGGTTGTGGCCGCCCTTGAGCAGGCGGCCAAAGTCAAAGGCGTTGCCCCGCAGACGGTCATTGGCTACGAGGAAGCTCAAACGTCTCTTCGGAAGTTGCGGCAGGAGATCCACGATGCTAAGCCGTTGGGCGCGCAGGTGCATGGCATTGGCAATAATATTCAAAAGGCAGATCAGCAGATTGCGAAGCTCAAGGCCACCATCGAGGCGGAGGAGCAGGCCATTGCTGAGAAGCACAGTTTGGTGGTTGATCTCAAGCAGCAGTTGGATACTAAAGAAAAGGCTCGGGTGCATATGCAGAGGGAGCAGATGGAACTGCTGCGTCTTCGTACACCTGAGCAGGTCACTCGAGCTCCTGAGGGCAGCGACCAGGCGGTCTTCGACACCTTCACTGCCAGTCTGGAGCAGCTGCAGAGCTTGGTTCAGTCCCTTGGTGGCGGCGAGCAGCTGGCGGCTAGTTGCGCCCAGTTCGTGGAGCCTTGGCTTGAGCAGGTTCGGAGGCAGCGAACCGAACAGCAAGAGCGGCTTCGCGCGCAGCAGCAGCAGCCACAGCAGCAGCAGCGACCTCCTGAGACCCCACAGCAGCAAGCTGAGCAGCCTGATCGGCTCCAGCACGTTGACATGCCTGTACCTGAAGACATGGACCTGGAAGAGCTTCGGACCTTTGTGGCTGATGCTGGGCTGGAGGCTAGCGCTGATGAGACGGAGCTGCGTGCCCAGGCCAAGCGCCAACTGGACTCGTGCCAGAAGCTGCTGGCCAAGAAGCTCAAGGTCGCTGCTTAGGCCTGTTTACCTGATTGCTACTATCGGCGCAATGGCGGCATATTCCCATACCTGCGATTTCGGCGATGACTTTGAGCAGTTGGGTGCCGACCCTGGCTTCGACCAGGATGATTTCTTCGGGTTATACGAGCAGGATACCAGAGCGTTTGGAGGACCTGCTGATGCAGATGGTGGCAGCGTGCTCCTACGTGCGGATCCTAGTGCGCGGCCAGATGCTATGGTTCCTGCGCACTTTGGTGACGGAGGGCATCGGGCGTTAGATCGCAAATCCTGGGTTGCCTGTGGCAGCTCAGGTTCGCAGTCGCGCCTGCGTCCACCACTCCCCAGGGCACCCCTTCCACAGGAGGCGGGGGACTCAGCGTGTGGGGGCGGGGGCGCAGGGTTTTGCTGGACTCCTATTTCTCACGGCGAGGTCGAGGGCAGTGGCACGACGTGGGGCAGCAGTCCAGGACACCTCCATCCAGCTCGGATGCTTGCACCACTTGACCCAGTGCAGGACTACCAGGACGTGCCCACGCCTGTATCTACCAGTACTTGGAGTGGGTCAGCGGCCAGGCTGGTGGATATCATGACACCTTCGACGGGCGCGACCAGCACTGGGATTTCTAATATAGGATCCAGGCCACATGCCTTGCTGGAATCCAGCCCGTGTCGCCACGAGCCCCGTCAGAACGCGCCTGGGCGGGTTATCCCTGGGGCTATGGGCCCCTTGTCGCCTCAGGCTGACGCCGAGCGGAGGGACGTCTCTTGGGGGGGGCCTTTCGGCCTCCTCGGCTCAGGCCACCGCTCGCCCCTCGGTGCCTGTCAAGGGGTCGCAGAGGCCTGACGGGTCCCAATGCTCTCATCCTACCTTGAGTGGCATAGGGTCGAGCCATAAGGAGCCCAATCTACCATCGGCTTCGACTGGGAATGCCCGACGCCAAGCCGACGACAGAACCAAGCGCAGCATGCACTCGCTCAAGGGTCAGGTTGTGACGGTCAATGTCAGCTCGCATGGCTCTCTCTTCGAATACATGCCAGGCATTGGCGACGACGTGAAGGTGCTGCTAGTTCAAGAGCACCACTTGCTGCCCGAGCGCCTCCAGCAGGCGCAGTCTCAGGCTCGCGATATTGGTTGGCATGGGAGATGGGCTGCTGCGACGCCGAGTACTGCCTCGGCGACGGGCTCGACTGCAGGTGTCGCGATTCTCGTTCGCACGGACGTGATGATCACTGCCCCTATCTTGGCTGAGAAAGAGGTCGTCACTGGAAGATGTCTGTTTGCGCATATTCACTGGGGTGTGCCTGGCGGTTTCACAGCTGGCAGCATCTACCTCGACACGAAGGGTGGCATGGGCCCAGTCAACACGGCCTACCTGTGGGAGACGGTCAAGGCAACCGCGAGGTTCAACAGCGAGGGTGTGGACTGGCTCATTGGCGGGGACTGGAATAACCAGCCTGCTGAGCTCTTTTCGTACAGCTGGGCCACGGCAGCCTCGGCTATACCCTTCTGCCCAAAGGTGCCGACGTGTAGGCAGGCCATTCCTGGGACTGTACTTGATTACTTTTTGGTTTCTTCAAACTTGGCAGCACGAGTAGACTCCAATGTTCGGGTGGATGAAGAGGCGACTCTATACCCTCACTGTCCAGTGCATCTGCAGGTGCTTGGACAGGACTACCCGCTATGGAGGATGGTGCCGAAGTTGCCCAAGGAACTACCACTACAGGCCCCTATTGGATGCTCGAGGTTCCCTTACTATTGGGAGGCCACCAGCTTCGAGGTGGCCGATGACGGTGAAGGGCTTGCTGCTTGTATGGATGACTTGATGATTGGGGTCGAAGGGGAGCTCACCAACCGCTACGACTACGTGGGCCCTGCTGCGCTGCGCTATTCAGGCCGAGCGGGGGCGACTTCCTTCACGTGGCGGAAGGTTGCCTGGCAGCCGCCCCTCAAGCGCACATACAAGCGCCCCCAGACTGGCCTGGAAGGTGGTACTCCGATGGTTTATGCACATTCAGAAGGAGCGCCACAGGCTTCGTACGCTTGTCACCAGGCTTCAGATGGCCCACGTTCTTTGTGATATTGATCCGCCCCAGTGCGCAGTCCTACTTCAGGCCTTCAGTGAGGTTGGTGGATTTCTTCGTAACATTATGCGTAGCCAAGTGGTGCTCCACCAGATGCCTGAGAATGCGCAGGCCTTCCTGAGCTCTGGGCTGCAGGTTCTGGTCGCACCTGGATTTGAGGACCTCCTGCGCTTGGTTGGGAACGAGGCCACTCGGCTGCGCAAAGAGGACCAGCGTGAATCCTACCGAGCTTGGATGCAGTTCCAGCGCACGGCCTTTCGGTTAGGGGCCTCTATTGCTCACCGAATCACCAAAGTGCGGCCGCTGGAGCAGATTGTTGCATTTCAACGACGCCCTGCAGATGCTCAGCCACAGGCTCTGGCGAATCGGGACATGAGGACTTGGGTGGACGTATGGACCCATCATGGCTGCCTACCAGTCCAGCCTCCTCCTGAGGCCGCAGAATGGCCATGTCTTCCGAAGCTGGACGCTGACACCTTGAGGAAGGTGATACTGACATTCCCCAGGAAAACATCGACTGGACCCTGTGCACTACACCCACGCTTGCTGTGGCACTTGTCAGATGAGTCGCTTGAGATGCTGGGCAGTCTCTTTGCAAGGTGCGAGCAACTACCCGAATGGCCTGCAGATCGGCTCTGGTCGATGATGCGTCGCATCCCCAAGGCGGACGAGGGACATCGACTGATTGCGGTGGTCCACACCTTCCAGCGCATTTGGGGCAGGGCTCGACGCGGCATCTCTCGGCAGTGGGAGCAGCAGCATCGCGCGGACAATGTGTGGGGCAACAGGTCCCGCTACACCTCTTCGGACAGCGCTTTTAGCCACAACCTGGACTCGGAGGTGGCTGTGCTGAGGGGCCAGTTCAGCGCGACGGTCCTACTGGATCTCACGAAGGCATTCGACATGGTACGGCCGTCGCAACTATTTCGCGAGGGTTGCTTGCTTGGCTATCCGCCGAGAATGCTGTGCATGTTGCTCAAGATGTACGCCCCGCCAAGGAGCCTCAAAGGGTACGGCACCTTTTCTGACATGGTGCAAGTGGACCAAGGCATTCTGGCTGGATGCACGCATGCCGTCTGTATGCTTGAGTGCCTCACGTTACGTGCCATTCTACGTATGCGTGACAACTAAGCTGGAGTGGTGCCACGGGCTCTTGTTGATGATGTTTCGGTTCAGTACGTTGGACCTGACCCAAAGGGCCTACTGGTGCTTGATTTGGCTGTGAGACTATTTCAGGAGGACTCGAGAGTGCTTGGTTCTTGCTTTAATGATAAGAAGTCGGGACTGGTTGCCGCGACGGCGGCGTCTCGTCAGACCCTGCGAGGCTCTAAGTTTGCACATCGGCCGTGGATGCGTAACCTCGGCCACGAGACCTTCAGCGTTCGCCCTATTCGGTTGCAAGAGAAGGCCCGACTTCGTGATCTTCAGAAGCGACGTCATCGTCTCCATATGTTTCGCCAAGTTGCTGGTCGTAAGAACTCAGTGATCTGGCGGGCAGGTGCACAACCAGCTGTGGCTCATGGTGCAGGCGTCTCGGGCATGACCGATTCAGCTCTTGTTATGGCCAGGTCAGTCGCTGCTACCATGGTGGGGGCACCGCCGAGAGCGCACAAGACTGCCTATCTGTACTGTCAGTGGCAGGTGCGCTAAGATCCGATCTTTGATGCGACGACGGCGCTGTTGTGTCGGCTGCATTGTTTTATCTGGGATGCACGTGTGCCCCCCAGTGCGCTTCGACATGCATGGCTGAGTTTGGCGGAGCGTGTTCACGACAAAGGGCTGACCTGGGCTGCGGCCCGCGGCCCACTGAGCGCCGCCTGGCTCACACTTAACAGAATTGGCTGGGCCTTTCTTGGACCCCATCACTGGCGTAGTGACCAAGGTGAGGACTTTGATCTCCTGCGAGTGGCGCCAGCTGGCATGAAGGTATTTCCTGAAGAACCGATCAAGCGCTGGCAGGTGCAGCGGCTCGCGTATCACTTGCCTGTACAGGAGGCGTCTCATGATGCATGGGAACGAGCTCTTCGACTTGGGCTTCGTGACTTGAGGCAGGCGCCGCTTGGAGCGCTGAGGGCACTGTGGGCTGATCGGCACCCCACTGCTGCCCGCCTTGCTGCATGGGGAAAAGATGTGAAGGTGCACTGTGCAGCCTGTCAATCTGATGATGGATCCTTCGGGCATGTGTGGCATGAATGTCCCAGCTTGCTGCAGCCCGATGAGAGCGAGGAGGCTTCTTGCGTTGAGGTTTTGTGTGAGCGACGCGCCTCTCATCGGGACGCTCTGCGAGCGCTTGGACACCGCCCCCCGCTCGATCCAGAGTTTGACAGATTATATTTTAGTTATGGTTTTCCGAGGCCCTCGGTCCAGCGTCCATCCCCTCCTGAATCGTCGGTGGTCTGGGAGTGGGGTGACGTTGGGGGTGAGTGGGGGCCTGTTACCTTCGGGGATGGAAGCGCACAGCACCCTGCCGCGCCTGAAGTTAGGCGCGCAGGGTGGGCAATTGTTCAGCTCAACGATGAGCTCCTCCCTGTCCGCGCGGTGTATGGATCCCTGGAGGGAGCTCTCCAGACCGTGGGCAGAGCGGAGAGAACTGCGCTCCTGCAGGCCATGAGGTGCAATCCCAGATTGGAGGTTTTTGTTTCGGATTTGCTTTCTCTGGTTCAGGAAGGCTTGTCTTGGGACCCTGAATTGGCGTGCGGAATGAACAGATACGCTGCCATTTGGAGGAGTGTTTTTGAGTTGGCGCAGAGTAGGCCCGCCCAGGACCCTCCTCCTCACTTCGTTTGGACCCCTGCTCGCCTCTCCCTGGAGGAAGTTCTGGAGCGAAAGCTGGACCCGATAACCTGGATCGGGAATGCTTGGGCCGACCTGTTTGCCAAGCTAGCGTCGACAAAGGTCATGATAGCTAGAACGACGGCCGAGGCGGTCGCTGGCGAACTCAAGTTTCATCGTGCTACCATCGATTATATTTCCTGGGCTGCTGCCAGGCTCGCTCGACTCCGACGGTGGACCTCACTGCCGCCGCCATCGAGAGTGTGTCGACCCCAGCCTGCGCCGCAGCTCAGCTTGCATGGTCACTCCTTTTTCTTAGACCCTGACTCAGGTGAGGTGAGATGTATATCATGCTTTGTCGGGGCCTGGACCTGCAGCACCCTGGCGCATCTGTGTAACGGCCCCTCAAAGTTTTGCCGACCCACGGCCCTTTCGGCCCTCAAGGGGCAAGAGTGGTTGCGTGTGCGAAATCAAGCGCGGCCTGTGAAGGCTGCGGCTGTGGTCGAAGCGGACCAGGCCCTTGTGGCTGAGGGTCTGCTGCCGCCCCCTCCTCCCCCTGGAAATCCTTCGGGAAACGAGAGAGAGGCGGCCATCTGTGAATTCGAATCGAGAGGTCACACGATTGAGAAGTATGATCGTGTGATGATTTGCTCTATTTGTGCTGGCTTTGTGTTGCTTCCGCATGGCGTCCCTCGTGCTCTGATGGCAAAGTGTCAGGGTGCATCCAAGGTGCCATCAACCAGGGACAAGCAGTTGCGGAAACTGTCCAAGGCCTCCAGAGGCCTGCACCCGTCTACGGGTGAAGTCCTTTCCTGTATGCAGGGCCCCTCTCCCTCCTCGCCTTTGTCCTCCCCTCAGGTGGCCGCCACTGCCGATGGTGGGGGTGTGGGGCGGTCGGGTGGAGCGGGTGGGGGGGGAGTGTCGGATGACTCTGACTAATGTTTTTGCTCTTTCGGCGTCGGCTGCTGCCGTCGCCCGCCGCCGCCGCTGGTGGCCGCCTCCTGTACGCGAAGTACAGCAAGCTCGCGCCAGGCGCGCCCTGCTGTCTCCCGCGTGCCCACCCTTCCTAGCCTAGGGTTGTTCGTTCCCGCGGACGACCCTCCTGTCGGCGCCCACATCGCCCATCCCCCTCGGTGCCCGCGCGTCGCCGGGTCGCGGGGCCGTGCTGCCGGGCCCTGCAGAGCGTGCGCGTGCCCGCGTGCTCGCGACCTCCCCCTGGCGCGTCGGGGGGCCAGCAGGCCATGGCACGCCCTGCCGAGGCAGCCCCGTGTGAGCGACGAGCACAGCCGGGTCTCATGCGAGAATGAATGGGGCCCCAGGACACACAAATAAATAAATACACACAAATAAACAGACTCCCCATATTTTCCATGTTTTTCTAGGGTTTTGCCTTCCCCCCCACTTCCCATATTTTCCCATATCTTCTGGGGAGTCGACGATTAATTGTGTCTGTGTGTTTTTGTTCCTTCCTGGGTCTCATGCGAGAAGGCGTGCAAAAAGGCGGCCCTACGCCGCGGCTTGCGCGGACCAGCTCAGGGGAGCATGAGCTGGGTTCGGCTCGCCGATAGATCGGCGATGGGCCTCCGAAGTGGCAAAACCGCATGGCCCTGGGCGGGGTGTCCCATCAGACCCCCGTCGGCGATCCCTGGGCGATCACGGCCGCAGGCTTTTCCCCGCAGTCTGTTGGCTGGGCGATGCTTCCCCCCGCAGTCTGTTCCCCCCGAGCGCTGCCCCTGACCTGGGCCGCGCGGAAGAACCGGACCGCCTGCGCGATCGACGCAGGCCCTGCACGCCGAGGAGGGGGACTGCCACTGGAGGCGCGTGGCCTGTCGATCCCGCGCGCGGACACCGGCACGCGTGATCGGACCAATTGCATCACAGGCTGCCCTGTGCACAGAGTGGACGAGTGCCGCCATGCGCCCGCCCTGACGACGTGGAGCCTGGCCTCTGCCGTCGCGCGGACTGCCCCACCACGCTGAATGATGCTCCGCCCTTGGCGCTGCCCGGCAACCCCTGGGACCCGTCCTTCGTGTGGACGTAGCGCCGGAGGTCGTTTTACGGAACGGACCTCCAGGATGGCCTTCAGCCTTCAAAGTCCGCGCCGGCGCCTGGGAAGCCCTCCAAGCACGCGCCAGGTCGCCGGGTCGGCCTAGGGGAGCCCGTCGCGTGGACGCCCCAGCTCCCCAACCTGGGGGACGCCAGGGCGTCTGTGCACCGAAGGCCTTCGCCGAACTTCTTGGCTCCTTGTCGGCGACTCCCGAGGGTGCGGCGTGCAACCTGTGCCCTCTTGGCAGCCTCCTGGGCCCTTGTGTGGCGGTCGTGTGGGGCCTCCTGGGCCTTCTTGGAGCGTCGGAGAGCCGAAACGGCGAGAGCGCCAAAATCTCTCGAAACCGCAAAGGAAATTCATGACTCTTGTCTTTGGGGGGCCCTCCCGGGGGGGCGGAGGGGCCTCGACGGAGTTCCCCGCCGCAAACCGACGAGCCTTCGGCGCCGCACGGTGTCCCTCCCGAGCCCCAGCGGCGCAGATCGAGAAACACACACACACACCACACACACACACACACACACACACCCTGGACAGCCAGCAACCGCTGCTGTTCCGCCGACCCTGGCCGACAAAGTCGGCCGTGGTGTACACAATTCCGCAAGGAACCACACCCTGAGACCCCAGAACTTCCATGGATTTTCGGTGAGGGACCGTCACGCCTTCCACGGCAAAAGGGCACCCCATAGACAAGCAGGGTGTTTCCTGGCATGAGCATCCACTGTACGCAACGATGAACCTCCGAATGAATCGCCCCCGCGCCGAGAGGCGGCACGCGCCCGTATTGAAGAAGCCGGTGTCTGCTGAAGCACGAAACAGATTGGGTCCGGAAGGGGCTCGAGGGTCCTCAGATACTTCCATGGCTGTTCCTCTAGCCCTCCTCGTGCACGGAGGCGCTACTGGTGCCACAAGTGGGACCTTCGTTCCTTACTTGGCCTTCCTTGTTTCAGCGGCCCGACTGTATTTGAAGGCTGGTGTCCCCCGAGTCGGGGCGGAGGGCGTGGGGTGTGAATAACGAAAGGGGAAGTTGCAAAGCAACACACGTAATTAAATGCTTTATCCAGGCGCCTCCTGGCGTCAACGGCCTCGACGGAAAAAACGCCTGGCGGGGGAGGCGGAACCAGCCGCATGCGTAGTTTTCGGACCCCCCACCCTACCCCTTTCCCCAGTCCTCGGAGCAGGGCGAAATGAGACAGCGCCACCTCGAAATCGGTCGCCGGGGTCCTCCTGCGAGGCTCAAACGCACCAGGTGTCCGAGCTGCCTCCAGTCTTCGAGGCGGCCGGGATGTCTGAACTGGTGGGGACCCTTCGGAAAGCAGCCAGGAGCATGGATGATGCCGGATCCTCTGAAAATCCGTCGCCAGACCCCGTCCTGGATCCATCTGGTGCAATTTGTCCCCTGGATCCCTTCCCGACGGACCTGGGGCCCGGAAGCGGCCCCTGGAGGCCGCAGAGAGCAAACCCGTGCTGGGCCGCCTCGGACCTGCGGGCCGGAAGCGGTGCTGGGCCACCTCGGACCCCGGGACGGCTCCATGTCCAGCCGGGGCGAAGAAGGGTCCCCCCCCTACGGCCAGCCACTCTCCCACGAAATCCGACGCTGGGAAAAAACTGCAGCATCGCAAGAGGAAGTGCGACCGGAGCCCCGGGCCCAACACTTCTGCCTCATGCTTCGAGCCGGATCTATCATCGATCTCTGCTGGTCCCCGGACCCGAACCCTTGCAACATCGCCCGTGGTGGCAGAAACTGCGACGCCAAGATTCGGGAGCGGCCAAGAGGGGGGTGTCCAAGAGAGGGGGGGGTGCAAATCATCATCACCGGCGGCACGAGCGCGGCCCAGCGGGGGGGGGCCAGGGACGCCATGAAGCGAGAAGAGGCGCCAGGAAATCTCGGGAAACATCGTGGCCCCCGCCACGAGATCCACCCCCTGCCCTGGTCATCCCCCCCCCTCTTTGCCGCCCCCGAAAGACCTCATGGCCCACCGGCCCTCCCCCCGACCGACCCACAGGCAGGCCCCAGGCTGGCCCCGTCGGGAGGCGTGCGGTGGATGCGAGGAGGCGGCGCCCCCCGCCGGGCCTCGGCGGGGCTGGACACGGGCGTCCCGTACCTGGGGCGCTCGCGGCTCTGGAGCGAGCGCTCTCGGGACGGCCGCACGGGGCACAGACAAATTGGTGCCTATTCTTATGATGCTCAAGGGTTTCCACTCGCCGGGCCCTGGGAGACACTCGCCCGACACTGTTTCGACACTCTTTCGACACTTTTCTGGGTGCTCGAAATTATTTCTGGGATGCGGTCCTAAGTAGGACGGAGACAGCATGAGCCTATTCCAGAGATTCGACGCTCCAACAAAACTTTGAGCGGAGGGTTCCAGATGGCCGCCTTCGGCCTCCTGGGGCCCTCGCTGGGCCTCGGGGCCGCAGGAAGAAACCACTCGGGACGAAGAATCAGCCTCTGGGGCCCACGCCTCGAAAACAACATTTGAGCGGCCGGATGTCTGGATTTCCTTTGGCCGCCCAGAGGTATAATTCCGAAGTGTGCATGGGAGGTACCTTCGGGCAGCCCAGGGAAGAGGTACTTCGGAGGTACCTTAGTGAGCAAATGATCATGGCAAAGAACCCAACCATATGCAATTGCGAATACCGCAGTTGTGAGCCCCGCCTTCGGTGGAGCTCCCTGTGGGGCCACAAAACGCGTAAGCGGTGTGCCGAAATGGGTGCGATGGCGCCATGCCAACCCTGCCGATGTGGCCTTCGGTGGAGCTCCCTGTGGGGCCACAAAACGCGTAAGCGGTGTGCCGAAATGGGTACGATGCCCCCATGCCAACCCTGCCGATGTGGCCTTCGGTGGAGCTCCCTGTGGTGCCACGAAGCGTGTGATGGGTGTGCCGAAATGGGTGCGGTGGCGCCATGCCAACCTTGCCACTGGAGCCTTCGGTGGAGCTCCCTATGGGGCCACGAAGCGCTGTACTGGGTATGCTGGAAAGGAAACATGCGAGGGCAGAGGCAAGGAGGGGGAGGAGGGAGGAGGGGAGGAGAGGAGAGGAGACGCGGGGCGCTGTCTCGTCAAAACGGGGACCCAACACCACAGGATGGTTGGGAAACAAAGCACCCTCCAGTAAGCACCCCGACAAGAAAAGCCATTCAGCAAACGCAGCCAGGGAACGGAACAGGGAAGAGCTGTGGAGTACACGCCCAGGGCTGTCTAGCAAGCGCTAGGGGTAGTTTTTCCTCCCTCGACACCTGCGGCTTGCCCAGGATGATGGGGCCCCAGGACACACACATAAATACACACAAGTAACAGCATTCAAGATATGTTCCCATATTTTCTGGGTTCCTTTCTTCCCCCCCGCTTCCCATAGTTTCCCACATCTTCCTGGGAGTCGACGATGAATTGTGTCTGTGTGTTTCGTTCCCCTCCCGACAGGAGAAGGTGCTCGGAGCTGCAGGCGGGCAGGCCAGGGCAAGGTGCTCGTGCGGTGCCCCTCCTGGGCAGGCCGCGGGCACCTTCCCGAGCACGATGCCCCCAACGGCACCTGGCGGTCCGAGGCCGGCGGCGGCCGCTGTTGGGCAGGCGGCACCCTGCCTCGAATGGACCACGCCCGCGGCGACGCGGACAGCGAACCCCGCTCAAAACGGACAACTGGCCATCGCTCGGACGTCCACTTCCTGTGTTTTTTTCGGTTTCGTGCGTGGTTTTCTCGCCAAATGATCAAGGATGCTCCTCGACGGCCCTCGCCGAAGGAGAAATGCACGCGCCCGAGCGATGCCAGGACAAGAGCTCCTGTCGGTACGTGTGCCCATCCCGTCCGTACAGCCGGACGTAAAACAGAAAAACAACCCTCAAGAAGACGAGACCCTCCGCCGGCCAAACTGAAGTACATGCGAGTGCATCAGGCCCCCACTGTGTCCCCTTCGGGCCACGGGGCCATCTCGCCAGGACGGCCAGCGAAACGGTGCGCGGCGGGTGATGCTAGCAGGCCGCCGCGCCGAACGTGCGCGCCCTCTCGCCTCTCGCTTGGCCGGGCGGCAGCGCCCCCGGGGACGGGCGGGCACAGTTGGCATAAGGCCGGGCATGTCCTCCTAGAGGTGGACTTTCGAGAAAACTTATGAAAAAAGTAAAACAAACATAGTAAAACAAATGAAAACATGTCCCCAAACTAATTTTTTGCAATGTTTGAATGCCCCTCCTGTAGAGGGACACGCCCGACTTACCGTTAGCAGCGAGTCTGCTGACTCGGAAGTTGATCCTGGACCTCTCGAGATGCGCAGTGGAGCCCTGGCGTCGGGCTCCAGCAGGCGGCTGACAGCCGCAGCACAGCCTAAGCTCGCGACTTAGGCTGGCTGGGTGGAAGGCGTACCTGTCATCAGACGGTAACCCGTTTTGGTGGGCCCGAACGGACACGCAAGGATAAGTGTTGTTTGTGGGAGTCTGTCGAAGACACTGCATGATTCGAAACTCGTAACGGCTGCTCTGCCTGCGCCAGGCCGCGGTCGTCCTGAATCCGACTGCACGGGTCGCCTTCGCTTCCGGATCACCCGCTGGGCTCGAATCTGGTCTTCTTGCATCAAGCTCCGCCGGGCTCGCCCCAGTGCCCTCTCCGGCACGAGGCCCCTGGCACCATCCCAACGTGGCGCTCTCCACCCCTCGCGTCAGCGTGTCTGTCCCGAACGACTTTTGAGGTGTCCAAGACAGGCTGCCGTGGGGCGGTCGTGAGGACCTGCGTATATGCTCCTCGACGACACAGATTACAGTAGCTTACAGCGCGTCGACGGTGGGGATGGGAAGAGGAAGCTGGGAAAGAGCAGTGGAACTGTAGAGTCTGATTGTTCTGTTTTCTTGCTTTTTGGGGGGTGGGAACGGTGCACGGGGTCCCAATGGGGGCCTCTAGTGCTGAGGGCGGGGGGAGAGCGAGGGGGCGGAAAGGGGGGGCGGAAAGGGAGGGGAGGAAAGGCGGGAAGAGTGCGGGGGGAAACCGGGAGGAGCCGCACTAGGCAGCAGGAGAATGAGACTTCTGCGCGCAGGCACCAACACATTCTCGGTGTCGGCGCTGTTTTGCGCTCCTCCTCCTCCTCCTCCTCCTCCTCCTCCTCGTCCTCGTCGTCCTCGACCTCGTCCTCGTCCTCCTCCTCCTCCTCCTCCTCCTCCTCCTTCTCGTCCTCCTCCTCCTCGGAACTCGAGACGTTTTTGGGGTTCTGACGGGGCTCCGGGGGCCTGGCCGACGCTGGCGCGCTCCCCAAAGCGCCGGCCACGGCATCCCCTGCTATGTGAGTTCCGTGGGGCGAAGTTTCGGCCAGCGCCCGTGCAGACAAGGCCGAGAGAGACAGATACAAAAACAAAAAACGACAACGACAACGACAACGACAACGACAACGACAACAACAACGACAAGGACAACGACAACAACAGCGACAACAACAACAACAACGACAACGACAACAACAACAACAACAACAACAACAACAACAACAACAACAACAACAGCAACAACAGCAACAACAACAACAACAACAACAACACCACCACCACCACCACCACCAACAACAACATCAACACCAACACCAACACCAACACCAACACCAACAACAACAACACAACCACAATCACAATCACAATCACAACAGCAACACCAACAACAACAGCAACAACAACGGCAAGACCAACGTCAACGACAACAACTACACACCACACATCTATAACAACAACACCACCACCAACAACAACAACCACAACAACACCAGCAACAACAACGCTTAACTCAACAACAACATCACCAACAAAAAGAGACCAGCCCTCTGCGTCTTTTCGCTGGCTGATCACACTTTCGCAGCAGGGGCGGCGCGCCCCCCCCCCCACAAAAAAAAAAACAAACAAATCACTAGAATAGAAGCCCGCGGCATTCCCACCAATCTATCCCGTTCGGCGCGTTGGGGTCGAAATCGAACTTCGCAGGGTTCATGCCGTAGACCTGGCGACGCATTCCCGCGTCAAACGGCACGCGCAGCGCGCAAAACCGGATGATTATTGTCCTCCGTCCGTAATCCCCACAGACTCGCCGTCCTCATCCTGATTGTGCTACTCGCCTCTGTCGCTATCAATCTGCACCATCGCGCTTGTCATCCTCAGCGTGCTCCTTCCCTGCTTACTTCATCCCCCTGTCTCACCTCATGGCTCCTTTCTCTACATTCCCAACCAGCTGCCCCTGCTATTCGTCTTGTCCTCATCTCCATCAGCCTTCTGCTTCCCTTCTCCCTTTGTCTGCCTCCGTCCTCCAGAGTGCCTCCTGGCATAGTGTAGCGCGGATTAGCGCCAAATGAATCCAAGTATTGGGCGGCGCCCGCCGCAATCGCAGGCAACCGGCACCCACGGCCTCCCCCTTACGGGAGGAAGCGGGCCCGAAGGCGCGCGCACCGACGAGCAGGGGATAGGCAGCCACTTCGTCGCCCATCGACTTGCCTCCAGCCGAACGGGCGTGGTGCGTGGGGGGACGATCGGTTCACCTCGTGACTGCGAGGTACGTCCCGATTCTCAACCCCTCCCCAATCAGCTGGCATGCAAAACTGGGTCTGTTTCCCAAGGTGACCGGGCACACGGCCATCATGGAACTTACGGGCCCCATGGCCCCGCCTCTCAACCAAATGCGCAATCCCCCGTGCGTGGTACCCATGTCCAGGTCACGGAACGTGGCTCACGCCGCTGCCGCGGGCAGCATGCCACGCGGCTGGTTATAAAAGACGCGAGCCGGTTTAGCTGCCCCCGGTCGCCGCATGAAGTCGACTCTGACGGTGTGCCCCGAGAGGTGCTGCACTGACACCATGGGAACTGGTGCGAAGACCCCACCCCTGGGGCGTATCTCTGGTGATGCGGAGGCGGAGGCGGCAGAGGAGGAGGAGGAGGAGGAGGAGGAGATTGCCCAAATCCGCAAACCCTGTGACGGGTTGCTCGTCCTCGTCGTCGTCGTCGTTGCAGTGCTCTAGCGACCCTGAGGGAAATCGACCCACGTCGTAACCACACGTCAAAGGGAAGCCCCTTCCCTTTGATCCCTCCCCCGTCGGGGGGGGGGGCCGGGGAGGGTGGGTGGGGGGGTCAGATACGACTCCGCCCCGGGGGCCTCCTGCTCCTCCTGCTCCTCCTGCTCCTCCTCCTCCTCCTCCTCCTCCTCCTCCTCCTCCTGTCCTCCTCCTCCCCCCTCCTGCTCCTCCTGCCTCCTGCTCTCCTCCTCCCTTCCTCCTCCTCCTGTCCTCCTCCTCCTCCTCCTCCTCCTCCTCTTCCTCTTCCTCTTCCTCCTCCTCCTCCTCCTCCTCCTCCTCCTCCTCCTGCTCCTCCTCACCCTTGTTTTCATCTTCGTCGTCTTCAGGGTCGGCGGCACCGGCCGTAAGGCCTTCGCAACCAGCAGTTTCTAAGTCCCTGTCCTGTGAGGCTTTCCAGGGCTCTTCCCAGAGGGCGCCAGGAGGGCACCGAGGCTGGCAAGATGGCCCAGCGATGTCTCCCCACGTGCGCAGACCAGCGCACCAAATCTTGATCTGCACGAGTTGGAAACCAACCCAGAGGTACCCAGGCCACCCGAGAGACAATGCCAACCATACGATGTTCAAATCAGCGGGCGCGAGCGAGCCGAAACACGTGCGAGCGGCAGTCTGGCCAATTACGGGCGGGACGCGCCGGAAGTGCATTGAGGCACGGCGGGGAGCGGGGAGAGCAGAGAGGAGGAGGAGGTCAACCATCACACAAACACAGCTGGAGCGTGCTTATAGTCTGTCGAAGATGCTACACTCCGCGTGCCTGTGGGCTCTATCCATGGTTCCAGCGGAAGGCCTCGGAGGAGCCACAGAGAAAGCCCAACCTGGCCCCGAGAGGGAAGAGACCCTCCAGGCCGCCTGGGACTGGCGCAAAGGAGGCCTCAGGAAGGCCCAATATAGCCACAAGACAGTGCCAGAGGGCCCCGCGAGGCTTTTCATTGAGCCCCCAAAGGCCCCCAAGAAAAAACAACGGAAACACTGTCGAAGGTCCGGGCGCATCCCTTGGATCAACACTGAACCCTCCCTTTCCTGGAGCGCGACAAGCGCGACAAGGGCGGCGCCAGAGGCGCCCCGAGGGGGGCCAACGCAGATATCAGAAACCCGCGCGGTGAGCTCTGAACGTTTCTGGTTATTACGGTTTGGTGCTCTTCGATCGCAGAACTCACAGAGTCGGCGGCGAGCGATGGGGGGAAGTGAGAAGGAGAAGGCCTTCTGAGAGGGCGGCGGGACTTCTCAGAAGCGCTCGCGCCTCATGACAATGTGTCCTTGGTCCCCGGGGAAGGCTTAGGGCACTTCTCGGAAGGCCGTGTGACTTCCGAGCCTGCTGAGCAGACCCGCCCCTTTTCACTTCCTCCCCTTCCTCGCCGCTTGCAGAGACTCTCAAGCAAACCCCCGGATATCCCCTGTGCGCCCGAGAGTGGGCCCACGAGGGCCCAAAGACGGCCCGGGAGAGCCCACAGACGGCACAAGAGCAACCTGCAGAAGCAAACGCAACAAATCTCAACAGTCTTCCTCGGTGCTCGATCCTCGATCGTCGATCGAGGATCCACCCATGATCCTGGATACCTGATGGACCACCGAGTATCGAAAGAGAGCATGCGCAGGTGGGAGGCGGCCTGCGAGTACGGCGTGACCTCCACGACCTGGTTCGTCGGCGTCGGCGCGAACTTCACCACCCGGACGACGCGCGGAGGGCCCGTGACCACGGCGGGGGACGGCTGGGGCGTGTTGTTTCCCCTCGCGACCAAGATAGGGAGGGAAGCTTGAGTGCCATGTCGGTCCAAGCTCTCTTCCTGTCTGGTGCGGCGCACTCCAGACGCTGACAGGTCTGACGCTCGACCGTGGGCGCGAACACCCCCCCCGCCCTACTGAGACCCCGGCAGTAGTCAAAAGGAAGCATGCACAACACTCGCCGAATGCGCAAACAGGATCCGCTGGCCCCCGCTTGCCAGGAATGATGAAGGCATGTGAGACATTTGGCTGTCACCCCTCTTCATTTTTTTGGCGGCGCGCAGAGGGGGGTGGGGAAGGGAACAACCCTTCTTAGAAAGAGGCTGATTACTAGAAGGCGCTGGCCCTACATCTATAAACAAGGCCCGCGCCTCCTTAGAAGCAGCCTCCTCCAAGAACCCCCTCTCCCCCCACTCCCCTCTGCGCGTGGCCGATGTCCTCCCTCCTGCAAAATACAAAACCATACTCAAGCAGAGGAAGTCCCCACTTGAGCTCCCCGACGCGCCTCAAGGGCCTTCGGAACCTTGAAATCAACCACCCGCGGCCCCCAGATGCCCCAGATACCTCTGAAGACGGCTCACGACGGCCACCAACACAACCGAACGGCCTAAAGAAAGCTTCCGCCCAAAGCCGAAACTGGAAGAAGCCGTCGGCCGTGATGTTCACAACGAGAGGAAATCAAGGTTCCCTCCTCCCTCCCCCCTTTGGGGGACATGAACGTACCGATACTGTCGGGGTTGGAGAAGACACGCGAGAGGACACCATATCTTTCCGAGAGCCACATGGCCACAGGAATGTAGAAGGCATGGGTTGCGAAGCGCAGGACACGCGGGCACCCTTGATCTGGCAAGGTCGACCTGCTAATCAACCTCGGCTGTACGAATACCACTGTTTTCTTGCACGCCGATCGGTGCCCCCGATTCGCCCGACGCTAACCGCGAATCGTCTCTGCCTCGCCGCCGGAAAAAAAATGTGCGGACACCGCCACTGCCCAGGGACATTCCAGGGGCGCAATCTCACCAGAACTTCAGGACGAGCTGCGGCATCGGCACCTGCTCCCTCCTCCAAACACGCGACGTGTTGACCCTTTCAATGCGAGGTCGGAAAATCCGTTTTTCATCCCCAGCCGTCGTTGGACGGCCACGGGGCCCGGCGAAGGCCCCCGTAGAGGCCAACAACGGCCATAACCGTCACGTTGTGATTTGTCCCCTGCGCGAGCACATCTGAGTCCGATATGTATATTCGTGCGCTTTGTCTGCAAGGAGGAGGAGGTGGAGGAGGAAGAGGACGAGGAGGAGGAGGAGGATGAAGAGGAGGAGGAGGAGAATGACGAGGACGGAGGGGGGAATGAGGATGCGGAAGGGGACGCTGCGCTGTGGTCTCCCTGTCTTCACCCCCCCCCATCCCCATGTCCAACGCGAGCAAGGGGCAGATTGCATGTTGCACAGCCTGCTGCGCTGACTCTCTTCCATTTCCTCGTTCCCTTTCCTTCCCCCCTCTCCACAATCGGCAGCGGACGCGCTGCTGTCATCGCCGACGAATCGAGTCGAATCGACGAGGAAGGCGAGGAGGAAGGAGGAGGAGGAGGAGGAGGACCTTGACCTTGACCTTGAATCACCATGAGCGCCATCCTGGTCTGATTTGGCCGTGCACTATGTACGGTCATGCTACACAACAAAAGCTCCGTCGACAATGTGCTGATCACCTGTCTAAGGATATGGTGCGGTGAGCCTGCTCTAGCGGACTACCTCGATGGCTGGGCCTCGAGGTGACGGGACCTGTGCCCTACGGGACCGTGTCGGTCCCAGGGCAAGTCCCCACAGTCGTCGACGCATGAGATGACTGTGGGAGGCATTCATTCAATCCCGCGGCACTGACGGTATGCTACACAAGGTCACTGAGACTGCGGTCCTGTGACCGTGAGCTCCTCGTGCAACTGAGAGTTATACCAGTCTCGTGCAAGAACATATGTGCGCTCACTCGACAACATGCTTCTATATATAGGCGTGCCAGGCATGACATTACGTGATGCAAGAAAGTCTGTAATAATACGCAAACGAGAAGGCGCGCCTGGAACTGCGCGTGCAGGAAGAGGGACCTCCGAACTCAGAGGTCTAGTCCTGAAAACAGCTCGGTTCGCCTGAGCCGTCAGAAGTGGGAGATCTGGTGTATTACCCTGCTCACGACAAACGCTGCGGGTAGCATCTTCAGCATGGCGCCGCTCATCAGCAGGAATATGATGAGAAGTACCATCCCAGAAGACAATATCACTGCAAGCCAAATCCTCCACCGAACTGCCGCCGGGTGCTCTCATGGATCCCACAGACCTCGGCCTGCGAGAGCCAGAACGCGGCAGAGAGGCGAGAGGCGCCGCGGAAGAAGAAGCAGAAGACGCCGCTAGCTCTCCACGCCCTCGAGCCACCCCTGCAACTCCCGCTCGAGGAAGGTCGGAGGTGCCTTGCCAACTTTTTTCACCGCGCCCTCCGTGCACTCGTAGGCTTTGTTCATCATGATGCGGAACTGCGGGTCGCGAAAAGCGACAGTCACCTTCTTCATGCCCCGTTGGAAGACTTTCTCCACTTGACAATGCAGCACCAGGTCGCACTTCTGCTCCATCGGCCACTTGTCGTACTCCGCGAACGCCGTGTTCAGCTCCTTGTGCAACGGCTCGGGTATCGAAAATCCTGGCGTTCCTGGCCTGACGTCGGCGTAGGTCTTCAGAGCTCCACCGAGTGAGTAGATGTGAGGTGGCCCGAGGTCGTGGTCTTTCTTTCCTTTCACGTGGTCGGCGTAGTTGCTCGTCTGTTCCTGCATTGCCAGCACGATGGAGCAAGTCTCCACCAGAAACCAAACGTCATAAATGACGGCTTGAAGCTCGCGTAGTTGTTGAGCGCTCCTCAGCGTTTGCCTCGACATCAGTCCGAGCATGGTCTTCTCGCCGTGCTTGAGCGCCTTGACCTCCTTCAAACCTTGCTCCTTCTTCGCCTGGTCGGCGTCGGGTTGACGCCGGCGCACTTCGAGGCGAAAGCCGCCCTCTTGCTGCTCCTTCGAACCGAGGACGCCTGGCATCCACCAGGCAGGTAAATGTACGTGGATGTGCTCCTCGTGAGAGCACGAGGGCGGGCAAAGGGAGTGGGAGGTGAACAGTGCGTATGTGCGTGAAGAGCTCGCTCGTGGAACCAAAAGGGGCTACAGAGCATAGACCACATTGTAAGTCGGTTGGCTGTTGTAAATCCCAATTCATATGCGCTCTCCCCAATTGACATCTCCCCTGAGCAAAAGCTCGCTTTAAGTGATGACGAGTACTAGCCACATCTCTGAATACTGAACAGCAATTCGGACACTGGTTGGTAATGGCCCCTGAGTTCAAGACAGACCGAATGCCATGATGAGACGTCTGGTGTGCGAAAAGTTGCTGAAACGTCGGGAACCCAAGGGCGCACGGAGTACATGTAGCATCTAGAATAGTACATTTATGTTGCTCAGCTCGTGTTTCTTGTTGACTAACCGCAACAGAGTTGAAAAGCTTGTCAAACAAAGACGAGTTGGTAAATACTGCGGCCCGAAGGATACTGGGATCTACTGCTAAGAACTCGGGAGCTGCATCCGAGTTGCAATTGAATAACTCTATCCAGGAATCATCGGTGCCCCTCCAGACCTCAAAGAAGCTTTCCGTGCCGCTAATACCTCGGTAGAGCTCTAGGTCGTGTCGGAATTGAAGAAGCCATGGATTTGCTGTATTTCGTATTTGACCCGTGTCAGTAAGGGCTGGTTTTTCGTTGAGTATATGACCACAAAGTACAGCAATAGTTTGCGCGTGGGCTGTGGGGTACTTTATCATACTCTGTAACCATCTGACCCGTCGTACTGCAAGTTCCCCAAAGCTCGGCAAGATTCGCCAATCCCGAAGAACGTCGCCGTTGCTCTGCGAGACCGCATGGGAGCCCGACCAATCAGTAGCCGAGCCCTTCATGAGCACGCGAAGGTAACGAACTACGACAGTTTCAAGCCTAGCACGTTCACTTTTAGAAAGTACGAAAGCCTCAAGGCCCGCGAGGCCCTTCTCCACAACCGTACTCAGCTCCTCCTCCTCCTCCTCCTCCACCTTCTCCTCCTCCTCCTCCCCCTCCTCCTCCTCCTCCTCCTCCTCCCCCTCCTCTTCCTCCTCCTCCTCCTCCCTCCCTCCCCCCCCCCCTCCCTCCCCCCCTCCCCCCCTCTCAAGCCGTTCTGGTGCGAGGTCCGTTTGGGGCGAGGCGGCGCCCATCAGACACCGCACGCGCGCGCCGCGCACGGGCCGGCGCCGGGCGCCCGCTACGTGCGTCCGCGGCTTGAGGGGCGCCTGCGGGCGGCAAAAGTCGCGCGGTGCGGGTTCGCACATACATGGGCAAGACGGGCAGCCAGAGGTGCTCTCCACGCTCTGCTTCCAGGGATGGCGGCAGTATGCGCTATGAGTACTACGTCTGCGGGATCTGTCCTCGTTCTTGGTTGTATAAGTCTCGTGCTGGCCAACCTGGTTGGGAAGGGTGCCAGACCTGTGGAGCCCCCTGGCCATCGCGTTCAGGGCAGCAAGCCGCTCGCAACGGGACAACCGCGGGTCGCGCCGTCTCCTTCGATGTGGACGACTCCCCGCTGGCGCAGAAGCTCATGCCCAAGCACAAGGCGGCGCGCGAGGCCAAGGGCGCCGCCGCCATCCAGGCGCTGGAGCTGGTCTGTCCCGAGCTGGCCAAGACGGCAGAGCTCTCGCCCGCGCCTGCGATCCTCCTGGAACAGGCTGCGCGGCAGCTGCGGCAGTTCCACGGTCAGCAGAAGCAGCTCAAGGAACATATCGTGGCCAACGCCAGGACTGGCAAGGACCTCCTCCGCAGGCCCAGCGAGAACATCAAAGCCTGCAAGGAGGCGCAAGAGGAGGCGGATCGCTACTCAGCTCAGACGGGTGCTCCAGCGGCCAGCTCAGGGAATGGCGGCCCTGCAGACGACGCCGAGTTCCCCCCCCCCCCTCTCGGAAGAGGACCTCCAGCTCCTCACGCCCGAGCAACAGCAGTGCTACAAGGACGCGGCCGCGGCGGTTCAGCAAGCCCAGGTCACCCTGCAGTCCGCCACCGACGCGGGCAAGCAGGCGAAGGAGGCGGCCGCCGCGCTCCGCAACCTCCGTGAGCAGGTCGCCTCGACCAAGCGGCGCAAGGCAGACACAGCCTGCGGAGTGGCCCCAGGCAGTGGCGGCGCAGCCGCGGCTTCCGCCGCGGCCCCGTCGCCCGAGGGCGCTGGCGGCCGTGACTTCAGCATTCCCGAGGCGGTCGACGAGTGCATCAAGTTCACGGCCTCGCGCAGGACTGCCGTGGCGGGGGCCGCGGCTGCCAAGGGGCCGTCGGCCGCGCCAGTGGCGCCCCCCGTCCCGCGGACGGCAGCGGCGCCAGCAGCGGCAGCAGGAGCGGCGATCCCAGGCAAGGGCGACGGCAAGAGCGGCAAAGACCAGGCGAAGGGGTAACAGGGCTGTCGCAGGAAGAGCCGCTCAGAGGAGCAAGGGCCGCCAGGATAACAGGTCGGCCTCAGCCAGGACCCCCTTCGGCAAGAGGGACTGTGCCTCGGTCTTTTTCGGCAACGTCACCTCGTACTCCCCCAAGGTCAAGAAGTTCATCGAGACGTCCGATCATGACCTGATCGGCCTTGCGGAGCACCACCTTGGCAAGGACAAGTGCGTCCAGGAGGAGAAGCGCCCCCGCAATGTTGGATGGCGCTCAGAGGGGACATGGACGCCAAAGACTCCCTCTACCCGCTCGGCTTCGGGCACCCACGGCGGCACGTGTTGGCTGAGGAGAGCCACCTACGCCACGAGCGTCCACTTGCAGGGCGCCAACCACCAGGGCGTGTTCCAGGACGCGCCCCAGGACGTCTCCGTGGTGCTCTGGCGAGTCCAGGGGGCCACGTTCGCCTTCATCGTGTGCTACTTGGACAGCTCCATCGGTCTCGTTGGGACCAACGCCAGGAAAATGACCACAATCGCTCGGATTGCTAAGTCCTCGGGGGTTCATTGGTGCTTGGTGGGTGATTTCAATGCCTCCCCAGAAGAACTGACGCGCTCAGGCTGGCTTCGCACCCTGCAGGCGCGAATCCTCACGCCTGGGGGCGCGAACATCACGTGCGCGTCGGGCAAGGGCCGCATGCTGGACTACGTGGTCGTGCCCGACAGCTTCCGCCTCTTCCTCGAGAGGGTGAAGCCCGCCCAGAAGCTGCCGTGGGGGCCGCGCATCGGCCTCAACATCCTGGTCACTGCGAGGCCTGCCGCAGTGATGCTACGTGCCCCTGTGCCCCCCGTTCCCCTCGAAGTGCCTGCAGGGGAAGTGCACGTGCCCAAGGGGATCAAGCGCTGTCAACGCGACAGGCAGCGGCACGCATAACTGCAGCAGGCCAAGGAAGATTGCGAGCAGTTGCAGGAGGGCGACCTGCTCAACGACGACGATGAGCACCTCCTCGAGGACACCTACACCCAGTGGCGGCTCCAGCAGTGCAATGGCTACGTCTGCGCGCCCTGGGCGGAGCACGTCACCGAGGCCCAGGAGCGCATGGGCACGCACATCCCAGCGGGCGAGGATGTGATGGCCAGCATCGCGTACCAGATGGACCCGCACATGGCGCAGGCATTGGCGGTGCAATACGGATACTGGGCCGAGGCGGCGGAGTCGCAGCTGGCCGAGCTCTGCGGCACCGAGCCTCGTGACAGTGCCCGACGTGGTCTACCCGTCAAGTACCAGTGGCGCAAGGCGCAGGAACAGACGGCCGACTCGCAGTTCGGCCGCGCCTGTGCGCAGGACATCGGTGGCAAGTGGGCCAGCCTCCACGCCAGGGTGCAAGAGCAGCTCATCGCACTTGGGCGCCACCGCCACACTGCGTACCAGCGCAAGGTGCAGGACATTGCCTCCGACATCATCAGCAGCATCATGCACCTCCTCACCGCCCAGGGGCCCGTGCCCGAGGCCCAGCTGCAGGCCACCAAGGGGAAGTGGCGGGTGCACCTGGACGACGACAGGGCCCTCGGCCACGGTGAGCGCATCCGCTACTCCAGGAACTTCCCCGAGTGGCAGGCCTTTGCGCTGAAGGTGCAGGCGAGAGCGGCTAGGCATGCCAGCTTGGCGTGGCAACAGGCCCGAAGCGAAATGCAAGCACGGGCCAAGGCAAGTACCCAGGGATCCATGCGAGGCGCCCACCGCTACCTCAAGAAGGACGAAGTGCAGGTCCTCGGCGAGACTTGCGCCGACCCCGACACTGGAGAGGTCTGCGACACTGCGCAAGCCTCCACCGAGGCCAGGGCACGCCGCTGGCGTGACCGCTGGACCAGCAAGCCCGGCCGCGTGCCTGCTTTGCGCGAGGCGCTGGGTGAGCTGCGGACCCTGGCAAGCGAGGCGCTGCCAGAACGGCGCTACCACACGAGAGACGACATGGTGAACGCCGCCAGGACATTCCCCAAGGCCACGGGCAAGGGCCCTGATCAGTGGACGCCAGGCCACCTCCTCGCAGTCTCCGACCAGGGGCAGGAGGCTTTCACCACCCTGCTCAACATGGTGGAGCGCGCCTTGGCCTGGCCGCACCAGCTCCTACACAACTGGTACGCCCTCCTACCGAAGGGCGCCAAGCAGGTGGTCGGCAACGAGAGGGACACCAGCCCCCTCCCCATGCCCGTGCGCATCTGGGGCCGCATGACCAAGGCTACCATGACTGAGGGGTGCGACAAGCGAGCTGGACACTGGGGCGCAGCGGTGCGCGGGAGCTCCGGGCTGCAGGCTGCTCTGTTCACCGTGGTGCTCGACGAGACCAGACGCAGACGGTGCTGCACCAGGCGCAGCAACGTGACGGCCAGGACGCGGATGTCGGCAGCGAGGGCGAGGGCTACGCGAACCAGTTTATTCCGCCGACTGGGGCGCGGCAGCAAGAGGACCAAGGGCGTCACGCTGCAAAACACCAACATCAGGGCGAAGTACCAGTTCGCCGACCCGATCATCGGTGCGCCCCCCTCGACGACAACGCGGCGACGGGCCCAGGCAGCGGACCTCACAGGCCACACCGTGGGCGGGCGCTGCACCTCCACCATCCCAGTGCTGCATTACCTGGACGACGAGCCCAAGGTGGCGGCCTTGGCGCAGCAAGTTAAGGAATGGTTCTACTTTTGGGCGCAACACCCTGAGCTGCGAGACCGCGTTCGACTTGGATGGCGTGCGGTGCTCAAGAGGCTCCTGTACATGCGACCTCGTGCTCGGTGGAAGTGCGTCACGGGGCCCATGGATGCGAGCATCCTGGCCCTGCACGACATCGGCTGGATACCGCGGGCGCCCGACGTCTGGATCGATGACGAGGGCTCCGAGTGGCGGCACCTTGGCGACGACGACGACAGCGCGCAGGACCTCGTGAAGGCGATCAAGAGCACCGTGCTGCGCCAGCTGTGGCGCCAGGCTGGTGACCACCCCCTCGGAGCGGGCCTCGGCGGCGGCGGCGACCTCCACACGCTGAGAGTCAACCTGAAGAGGATGCGCCGCCAGGAGCGCCACAAGGAGGCAGGCGCCCGGGAGGCGGCAGCGCTGGCTGGAATCTGGACGGGAGCGAGGGCCCTGGCGGCCGGCTACATGCGCTCCGACGACTGCGAGCGTTGTGGCGAGGGCAAGGACACCATCGACCACAGGCTGTACTTCTGCTCGGCCACCTGCGAGATGGAGGGCCCTTGGATCGCGCGCGCTGAGGACCTCCGTCAGCGTGCCTTACATGATCTGTCGGAAAATCGCCACGTCGCTTTCTGGACCAGGGGGATCGTTCCCCCCGAATGGGTAGCCGTGCCGCCGCCGCCTGCCTGGAGCTCAGGAGAGGGGCTGGGCGTCTGGGCTGTCGGCACCTCCCCCCCCGATCCTCGACCCTTCCTCGAGCGTCGTCCTTCCCTCCTCCTCTCCTGCCCTCACGTGCGAAGGACCGTTTAACGTAGGAGCTGGTGAATACCCCGTCCGCGCACGTTTGGCGTTCTTGGGCGGGTCACTTCCAGCGATGCCCGAGTCTGCCGTGAGGGTTGGGGTGCTCACTTTGTGGGGGAGTGGGCGGAGCTGGAAGAGGGCGGCGGCGAGCCTTCTGGTTTGTTCGGCACCGTAGACGGGGACCAGACGGTCCCCGTCGCAGAGCTGGCTGCCCCCTGGAGGGCGCTGCAGCTTTCCACGGGGCCCCTGGGCCTTTTTCACCGATTGTCAGCTGGTTTTCGACGGCTGGGTCCAAGGGAAAGCCCACAACCCCAGGGGATGCCACGCCAAATGGTGGGCCCGAATTCGCTCGGCCCTCGTGCGCCGAGGGGGCCAGAACGTCCGCCTTTTCAAAATCTTCTCGCGCTTGGATGTTGATTCCCACGTGCGCTCAGGCCGGGACCCGCGGAGCTCCCGTGGAAACGAGCTCGCGGATGCACTCGCCCAGCGTGGGGCGGAGTCTGCTGCCACCCCAATCCGGTCCCACGTCAAGGCCCTACAGGTGGCCGGCGCACGAGCGACCCTCGTGCGCCAGCGAATCGGCGCGGTCCTGGCCCCGATTTGTGCGGAGGTCGATCGTGGGGTTCGCTCGGCTCGGCTCGGCGTTGCGGGCGGTTCGGTCGGTTCCGTTTCGGACCTGGGACGGATCGGGGAGCTCGGGGCCCGTTCGGGGCACAGCCTGTCTCGCCTGAGCTCAGGTAGGTGGGCCTGCAGTAAATGCCGACAAACCCCAGGGCGCCTTTCCTTGGCTGACTGGCTCCAGAGTGGGGCGTGTCGCGGGGACGTCTGTAAAAGGGATCTGAGCGAGCAAGGCCCTCACGTCTACGTCCCCCCCACCTGTGCTGGCGAGTTGAAGGTCGGTGCCCGCAGTGTGTACCCCTCTCATTCCATAGCTATGCAGAATGGCCTGGCCTGGTGCTGGAGGTGTGCCAGGTACGCCCCCATCGTTGCTGGAGGGGGGCGGCTCTGCAAGTTGGCCCACGAGTGCCCCCAGGAGCGCACCCCTCTGGCCAAACGAGGATCAATCGTCTCCGTCGAAGCCTCACCCCGAAAGCGGGGATGCAATGGCCCATACCCCCAAGTGGGGGTGGCGGATCGGCGGACGGACGGGAGAGCCGGCAGCTCGCTCAAGGCCTCCCCCGTCGACGACAACCATAACCTGTTTACACATGACCCGTAATCTGCACGCGGGGGGGCGTAGCACTGCTCCGACCCCCTCTTGTTCGAGCTTTCCCGAGCTTTCCCTCCCTCCCTCCCCCCCTCCCTCCGTGGAAGTCGCCAACCCACAGTTGTATCGGGCTGCGTCGTGGATGTTAAAATCCCTCCCTCCCTGCCTCCCTCCCTCCCTCCCTCCCTCCTTCTCCTCCTCATCTTGTCCTCGTCTGTGCCGCTGCCGTGGCCCGTGCTGCCCGCAGGACGCCAGCGCTGCACAGGGAGCGCATCTGCCCACACGTCAGCATTAAGTCGGGCGTGTCCCCCTACAGGGGGTTTTCAACGAAAACTAAAAAACTCAAAACATACCCCAAAATTGTTAAATAAATATTCCAAAAATAGTCCCCAGACTACTTGTTGACTATTTTTTGATTATTCCCCCTGTAGAGAGACAGGCCCGACGTAAAGTTAACATCGGCCGTGCGTCGACTGCAGCCCCTCCTGCCGCCGCCGCGCCAACCGCCCCCTGCTCGCCCTGCTCCATCACGACGTCGTCGTCGGCTGGACTCGCATCGCCACCGCCATGCCCTCGGCCACGTCCGCGCCGGCGATAGCGTCCCTGCGCCGTCGGGGGGCCCGCGTCGGCTTCTGGCTCGGGATTGGCGGGTTGCGCGACCAACTGCGCCACCAACCCGAAGCGGCCGCGACACTGGCGGCCGCGTGGACGGCCAACAACGCCCCGCGCGTGGTTTCCAGCGCCGCCGTGCTGGTACCCTTCTGCGTACCGGCATCGGACCAGCGGCGGCGCTCGCCCGGGGAGGCGGCCAGCGACACATGGTTTGAGTCAAGACGGTACGGACTTGGATGATGATGGTGATGGTGATGGTGATGGTGATGATGATGATGATGATGATGATGATGATGATGACGGTGATGATGATGATGCTGCTGATGCTGATGCTGATGCTGATGCTGATGCTGATGCTGATGCTGATGCTGATGCTGATGATGATGATGATGATGATGATGATGATGATAATGATGATCATGATGATGAGGAAGAGGACGAGAAAGAGGAGGAAGAGGATGAGGATGATGTTAAGGATCAGTATAAGGGTAAGTATAAGGACAAGGATAAGGCTGAGGATAATGATGATGATGATGATGATGATGATGATGATGATGATCATGAACACGACGATGATGACGATGACGATGACGATGATGATGATAACGATGATGATGCTGATGATGCTGATGATGCTGCTGCTGATGATGATGATGATAATGATGAGGATGCTGATGATAATGATGATGATGATGATGATGATGATGATGATGATGATGATGATGATGATGATGATGATGATGATGCTGATGATGATGAGGAGGAGGAGGAGGAGGAGGAGGAGGAGGCGGAGGGGGAGGGCGAGAAAGAGGAGGAGGAGGAGAAGGAGGAGGAGGACGAGGGGAAGGAGGAGGAGGAGGGGAGGAGGAAGAGGACGAGAAAGAGGAGGAAGAGGAGGAGACGGAAGAGGGAAAAATGCTCGAGGATCGGGGAGGAAGAGGAGGAGGAGGGAGGAGAAAGGAGGGACGAGGGGAAGAGGGAGGAGGAGGGGAGGGGAAGAGGACGAGAAAGAGGGAGGAGAGGAGGAGGTCAGGGAGGAGGAGGGAGGAATCGGAGGAGGAGGAGGAGGAGGAGGAAGAGGGCGAGGAGAATCAGGAGGTGGGAGGAAGCAGGAGACGGAGGAGGATTTGAGGTGGCGGGGGAGGAGGAGGAGGCGAGGAGGAGGAGGAGGAGGAGGAGGAGGAGGAGGTGGAGGAGGAGAGGGAAGAGGAGGGTAAGCAGGAAGGAGGAGGAGGAGAGGAGGAGGGGAGGAGGAGGAGGAGGAGGACGAGCGGGAAGGCGGGAGTGAGTGAGGGGAGAGGAAACGAGGAACAGGCGAGGAAGAGGCGGAAAGAGGAGGAGTCGGACGAGGGAAAAAGCTCCAGGGAGAGGGAGGACGAGGACGAGGAGGGTGGAGGAGGCGCGAGAGGGGAGGAGGAGCGAGGAGCGAGGAATCGGGGAGGAGCGAGGAGGTGGGGAAGAAACGGAGGAGGAGAGGAGGAGGTAGGAGGAGTGAAGTGGGGCGTTGTGAGGAAAGCAGGCGGGGGAGGCGGAGGAGAGGAGGGGAGATTTTAAGGAGGGGGGGGAGGGGAGGAGGAGCGGGGAGGGTGAGGAGAAGGATGAGGTTGAAGGGAAGGGAGCGGGCAGGAGGAGAGTAGGGGGAGAGGAGGAGGAGGACGAGGAGGAGGAGGGAGGAGGAGGAGGAGGAGGAGAGAGGCGGGAGGAGGAGGAGGGAGGAGGAGGAGGAGGAGGAGGAGGGTAGGGGAGCGAGGGGGGAGGAGAAGAGCCTGGGGACCCCAGCAGGACGGTGCAGAACGGGGGGCGTCCTGCGACAGCGGCGCCGCCCGGGCCGCGGGCGGCCCCGCCGCGGCGACCCGCGGCGTGGGGCCCCCCAGCGGCCTGCGGCCCCCGCCGCTCCGCGGCGGCTGCACGCCGACGTCGCCGCCGGCCGCCGCGGCCGCCCTGCCCGACGCCGTCGTCGCCCCGCTCGCCATCGCTCGGACGTCCAGTTCCTGTGCTTTTTGTTCGGTTTCGCGCGTGGCTCCTTTTCGCGACACGATCAAGAATGCTCCTCGATGGTCCTCGCCGGGGGAAAAGAAAAAAACGCCCACGTCCGAGCGATGCCGAGCCCGGGAGCCGACGCCGTCGGCGCTCCGAGGGCCAAGACGTCCCCAGGATGCCCCCCCCCCTGGCCATCGCTCGGACGTCCATTCTGTGTGTTTTTTTATGTTTCGGTCGTGGCTTTTTCGCCAAATGATTAAAGATGCTCCTCGATGGTCCAGACCGGGTGAACAATGCACACGTCCGAGCGATGCTCCCCCCCCTGCAGGACGGCCTCCAGGCGCGTGCAGCGGGTCAAGAGAGCGGCAGCACGGCCACAGAGGCCCCCGAGGAGGCCCCCTTGCAACCCTCGCGAAGTCCAGGCAAGCTGTTTCCAATCCCTCTCGCCCCCCCTCGATTTCAATGCTGAGCGACGCGCGCAACGCGGCCCGCGGTGTCCGAAGAAACACATGAATTGAGAGGCCTACGGGAGGCCCCGGGGGGCCCTTTGAAGACCCCCGAGAGGCCCGCTGGGAGGCTCGAAGAAGGCTCCAAAAGGCCTCCTCCCCCACCTAGTCCTCATCGTCATCCTTTTCAGCTCCTCCGCTATTCTGCTATTCTCTCTCTCTCTCTCTCTTTCTCTCTATGTCGTTGTCTCTCTTTGTTCCTCCCCCGATGGATTTCAAAACGACTGGGGGAACACAATCCGATAACTCAAGGTTTGACCGCAGAGGCGGTGTGGCGGTGGTTCGCCGTAGGCGGCTTCGATACAGAAGACTGGGGTGTCGCTCTACTGTGTACTTTGTCCTCGCAACTCTGTTGGGCAGTGGACCGTCGCAAGGAAACAGCGATGGCAGTAATGAGAACGACGTCTCCGTCGAGCACGATGCCGAGGCCCCGCTCGGACGTCGAATCTAGGATGCTCAGCGGTGTCTTAAAATGCGATTCGAGGGTGACACCAGCGCTACCCCTTGACTGCAGCACCTTTAGCCACTACCACGCGCGGGACCAAGAAGCGAGTGAGGGGTGTGCCGAATGGGCGGGGAGCCGCATGCGAAAACTACCACTGAGGCCTTCGGAGGAGCTCCCATTATGGGGCCACGAAGCGTGTCAGGGGTGTTCCGAATTGGGCGGGGGACCCGAGAACGTCACACCCATGCTGGCGAACAGCCGCTCTCACGCGCAGCCGCGGCATCACGGGCGACGACGACGACGACGACGACGACGACGACGACGACGACGACGGCGACGGCGACGACGACGACGACGACGACGACGACGACGACGACGACGACGACGAGACACGGCGACGACGAGACACGGCGGCGGCGGCGGCGACGACACCACGGGCCGGGGCCGCCGCCCCGCCTCGCGGCCCTCGCGGTCTTCCCGCCGGCGGGCGCGCTCTCCTCACGGAGGGGCGGCGCGCGCCGGGTGGCGCCCCCCGAGCACCGGCGGCGGCCCCGGGCGGCAGGCCCAGGCACGACACGAGGGAGGGGCCACAGGCGGAGGCCTCCTGCATGGGGTCCGAGCAGGTGGGGTCGGAGGAGCGCGCCGCATCGCCGATGCGTCGCCGACACACCGCCGGTGCATCGGCCAGGAATCGGCGACGTCGGCGATGCATCGGCGCCGTCGGCGCGGAGACCATCGGGCCCCACATCGAGACACATCGTCGATGTATCGGCGATGCGGCGCGACCCTCCGACCCCATCCACTCGGACCTCATCTAGGAGGCCTAGAAGAAGCTAGGGGGACGGAGCAACCCCCGTCTTTTCTCGCTGCCATTGAAATCGCGACAGCATGCTTTCGCATGATATGTTCCGCCTCCAGGGGGGCTCTCATAAGGCCCTGAGGACTGTCACATAAAGACCCGGGGCGAGCCAGTCCTGGGGGAGCGGTCCCGAGCTTCGCGGGTCCCCGCAATCAACCAAGCAAGAAGCCCAACCCTTCGAGAGGTAGGCTAAGTTAGGAGGGCCGTATCATGAGGGATAAGGGGGTCTTTTCTGCAGACGTGCCGAAATAGAACGCCCTAAACTAATACCCCGAGTGCGAAGACGGAGACCTTAGCGAGGCCGCGTCTTCATCGTGCTAGTAGGGTTAGGGTCAGGTCGGGCAGGTCCCCCTACAGGCGGATCTTGGACGACATATAGAACATGTACACCAAAATACTCAAACATCATTATAACAGATAGATGTTCACACATCGTCCCCAGAATTTGTTTCACGATTTTTGAACACTCCTCCTGTAGAGGGACACGCCCGACTGAAGGTTCGGGGGTCTTCTGCCCTCCATGACGTCAGGACTCTGGGGATGGCCTGGAGAAGGGCCCCGATGGCCCATGGCTTATGGCGAAGCCGCGCGCCCCTGGGCGGGAGAGGGGGCCCAGGCCCCGAGCCCTGATCGGGAAGGGCGCGCGCGCGGGTCGATGCTTCCCCTCGCGGGCCGGTCGTTTCCCCTGCCGTTGCCCTCCTCCTCCTCCTCCTCCTCCTCCTCCTCCACAGCATCATCATGCTGTTCTTCCTCCTCCTCCTCCACAGCATCATCGCCCTCCTCCTCCCACGACGAAGCGCCTGGAGATGGCGTGCAGCCGGCCCGTATCATAGGGAGGCGCAAAGTCAGGATGCAAGGGCCCTGGACGCCCATTCCGAAGCTCTTCCAGCGGGGCGCGGCCAACGAACGTGGCCAAGAATGGACCGAGGAGGCGAGGATGCAAGGGATACCCTTGGGAAGATTGCCGATCCTTACTATACAATTCGAATGCACATGCCACCCCAGACTTCGGGCGGTCTTGCCCTCGTTCGTGAGCTTGTTGGCTTCTAGTACTCTCGGCAGTGGACAAACCTGCCTTTCATAAACCTCCCCTTAGTGAAAACGGCCTGGGACCGAAACCGACGGACCTGGACCCGCGGAAATGACGACCGCGACGCCCTCTCGCGAACCGAAAACGGCCAATTCACTAATCGACGTGTCAATGTGGGAGGTCTGTCCACCCCCGATACTCGGGCTCGGCATCCATCGGGCCGGGCGAAAGGGGGGGATAGCAAAGGGGGGGTTTGAGAATCAGCTCACGTAGCTGATTTTCCCGGCGCCTCCCGGCGCCGGAGGCGGCCATGTATCGAGGAATGGGCCCCTCGGTGGGGCCGAAACCAGCTGCATGCAGCAGATTTCGTAACCCCCCCTTTCCCAAACCCCCCCCTTCGCCCGACCCGAATCCAGGGGGCCGTCCTTGGACCCTGGGGCCGGCAGAGAGACGCCGGGAAGAGCGCCACGGGCCCCGGGGAAGCGGGAGCCCTGGGGCCGCGCGCGGTCGCAGGGTCCGGGTGCGCACACGGCAGCCCCCGGCCAGGGAGGGCGCGGGCGCTGATGCTGGCCCCGGGGGTGGGCCCGGCCAGGATCGCCGAGAGAAAGGTGCTCTCGGGCAGCCGCCGCGCTACCACTCAGTCGGGCATGTCCCCTCACAGGAGGAAGGTTCACGTATAGTCAAACAGAATCGAAAGTAGTCTTGGAGCGATGTCTCTGCTATGTGTTGTCAATGTTGAAGATGTGTTGAATGTTTGTTATGTTTCGGCCTAAACTATTCCGAAACAATGTGGCGTTTTGTTGTACTCTGGGATTCGACATTTGTCCGAAGGGTTGTCCGAAGGGTGGGGGAGGGGGGGTCTGGGTGTGGGCCGGTGCTTAGTCGATCTGTTTTTGCCAGTCGCGCAAGCAGACTGGGGGAGAGGGGTCCTGACCAGTCGCCAAAAGCAGCCGTCAAGAGCAGCGAACGTCTGGTCGAAGGGTTATGGGGGCGGGGACCCACGCCGATCGGCGAAAGTATACGTAAGGAAACAGCTACACAGGAACGCAGTTGCTTGCCGCATTCTCTAACACACACACACAGATGCTCAGGCATGCCTATTCAACGCACAGCCGCCGAGCGCTCGCCCAAGCACGCGGGCGACCGATTTACCTCGTCAACCTACACCCAACTTAAACGAGGGTTAGGGGCCTGCGCTATACGGGACCGAGGAGAAGCAGTCAAGAGGGGGGGAGGAGGGTTAGGTCGGGCATGTCCCTCAACAGGCGGATTTCGGACGAACAATAAAAAATCATCGAGCAACAATTCAACAAGTTTCAGAAATAATCAAACAATCGTCCCCTTATTATTTCTAGCCTATTTTTGAATATTCCTCCTGTAGAGGAACATGCCCGACTTACGACGAGGACAAACTCGATCAGGATCAGCCCCCGGACGCCTCCCGGGGCTCATCCTGCCACACGTCTCGAGCTGCGTCCAGCCGTGGCATTCCTCCCCAGCTGAGGGCCCTGGGGCCGGAGATATAGCCAACAACGCCCGTTGTGACCAAGTTGCGATGCCAGCATCTGCGTCCCTTCGTCGTCGTCGCGCGTCGTCCGTCGCGCGCCGTCGTCGTCGCTCGTCGTCGTCACCGTTCGTCGCTGGGCCACCTCAGTCCCCCAGCCGGCCCCAGCCCTCCCCCGTCAGCTGCTCCTGCGACCGTCCCCCCGCTCGATGTGCACGAACTTGGGCACGTGCGCGCAACTTGCACTGGAAGGCGAAAACCCACCCTCCACCCGCAGTCCCGACCCCATCTCCTCCTCCTCCTCCTCCTCCTCCTCCTCCTCATCTTCCTCCTCCTGCTCCTCCTCCTCCTCGTTCTACCCCTCCTCCTCCTCCTCCTTCCCTCCGCTTCCCCCTCATCGCTGCCCGCAATCCTCCCCACCCACCTTCCTACCTAGGTCTGCACGGCGTCTTCAGCGTAGCGCACACCCCCAGCAACGATGTCCTCTGGCATCTTTTCGCGGACCGCCGAGTTCCGAGTTCTGAATTTCTTCCTACCCCCCATTCTCGCGTCGTGCCACATCCTTCCGCGTGTCTCGGACCTCCTCAATGACCCGTCCCGACCTCTCGTATCTCGGACCTCCTCAGGGACCAGGGGTGGGAGTGGCTCTTCGGGGTCCCAGAGAGGGAACAACGCCCCCAGCCCCCCAGCCCCGACCCGTCGAATCGCTTGCTCGGGGCAAGGAGTCGGGACCGGGGGTAGGGGCGCGGGCGGGGGGGGGGGCGGGCGGGCGGGCGGGCGGGCGGGTGGGCGGGCGGGCGGGCGGGAGGAGGAGGGGAGGGGAGGAGGAGCAGGAGGAGGAGGAGGAGGGAGGAGGAGGGGGAGGAGGAGGGGGACGGGGAGGAGGAGGGGGAGGAGGGGAGGAGGAGGAGGAGGAGGAGGAGGAGGAGGAGGAGGGCCCCCCTCCGACTCCTCGTCGCTCTGCGAGGAGGAGTCGTCCGGGGCGGCCGCCAGCGTGACCTCGCGGCGGGGGGGGGGGCGGTCCGCGGAGGCAGCCGCGCACGTGGGGGGCGGCCTTTGCCCGCCCCCTCTCCGCAGGGGGCGAGGGGGCAACGTCAGGGGGCCCAGCTGGTGACCAGCTCGGGGCTGGAATCGGCTGGCAACCTCGCCTCCTCCTCCTCCTCCTCCTCCTCCTCCTCTCCTCCTCCTCCTCCTCCTCCACACGGGGGGGGGGGCATCGGGCTGGAATCGGCGCGGCAACCTCGCCGGCGGGTCGGCGAACAAAAAAGCCCCTCCGAGGGGCGGCTCCGCGCGCCCTCTTTGGCGGGGCGGACGGTCGGGCTCTGCTGCATCGGCGGTCCACGGGGCGCGCCTGGGAGGTCGGTGCGCTCTCCCCTGGACTCCGCACGGTCTTCGTTGGCTCAGCGACGTCTGCTGCCGTCCTTCGACTCGAGCTGGAGCGGCCGCGAGCTGATCCAACTTCCACTGGAGATCTCTGGATCTGCCTGGGTTGACCTGGGGTGAATCTCGACTCGCCTGGATGTGCCTGGATCTGGCGCAATTTCTCTGCGGTTACCTGGATTTATCTGGCTCGATCCCCACAAGTCGATTGGCGAAAAGGCGACAAGCCTTAGGTCGGGCATGTCCCCCTACAGGCGGAGCTTGGGCGAAACAAATGCCCAAACAAAACAGACACCTGATCAAAGAATAATAGAAAGTTCGTCCCCTGACTATATCTTAACCATTTTTGCAGAGTCCTCCTGTAGAGGGACAGGCCAACCTTGAGACGAGCCCTTGGGGAATTCCTGGGCAGGGTAGACTATCAGGCCCTTCTTCGGTGGTGGGAAAACCTCCCTTTAATAAACCTCCCTTGAGTGAAAACGGCCTAGGACCGAAACCGACGGACCTGGACCCGCAAACATGACTGCCGCGACGGCCTCTCGTGAACCGAAAACGGCCAATTCGCTAATCGACGTGTCAGGGTAGGAGGTCTATCCACCCCCGACTTCTATCGGCGATCCATGGGCGCTTTTGGAGGTCGGTCCGTTCCCCCCCAGAGCCCGTCCCCCCCCCACCCTATCGCCCCTCGCGTTGCCCCCGAGGCCCGCAGAAGGCAAGATGCGAAGCCCCCAGGAGGAGGAGAAGGAGGAGGAGGAGGAGTAGGAGGAGGACGACGAGAAGAATGAGGAGGAGGAGGAGGAGGAGGAGGACGAAGAGGAGGAGGAGGAGGAGGAGGAGGAGGAGGAGCAGGAGCAGGAGGAGGGGAGGAGGAGGAGGAGGAGGAGGAGGAGGAGGAGGAGGAGGAGGAGGAAGGGGCCCGGAGGGGGGCTTCGAGGGGGCGGAATCGGAGGACCTCCGACATCCAGCCGGCCCGCATCAGAAGGAGGCGCGCTAAGGATGCAAGAGCCTTGGAAGGCCACTTCGAAGCTTCTCGAGCGGGGCGCGGCCAGCGAGCGTGGCCAAGGATGGACAAAGGAGGAATGGCTGCAAGGGTACCCTTGGGAAGGTTGCCCATACTTTCTGTGCGGGTTGACTGCCGTTATCCACATCCGCCACCCGAAAAGCCGATCGACCTGGACCTCGGAAGAAGCGGTGGATGCGGACACATGTCCACATCCACCACCCCCTGGGGTTCCCGAGACCACCGCTTCCCCACATCGACGGGGGTGGATGAACAGCCCCCTATCCCCCCATACCTCCGAGGAGACCTCCGGGGCAGCGGCGCGGGAATTCGGTGGACCTCAGGGGACGCGGGATGGACCCCCGGAGGTCGCCCGCACGGGGTCCGAGCACATGGGGTCGGAGTATCTCGCCGCATCGCCGATGCATCGGCGATGCATCGGCGACGCCAGCGGTGCAGCTGCGGCGTCGCCGCGGAGGGAGCTCCACGTCGAGCCGCATCGCCGATGCATCGGCGATGTGGTGCCCTCCGCCGGCCCCCGCCTGCTTCGCGACCACGGCGAGGGCGGCCAGCCTGGAGCCCGAGGCCCACCGAGGCTGCACTGGGGGAGGTACCAATAGCTAGAGGAAAGATAATTATGCACATACACCGATTCTGGCCAGGCCCATCGTGAGCCCAGGATCGGTGCATACGCCCTCTTACCTTGACCAGGAAGGTATACGCACCGATCCTGGGTCAAGGATGGACGTTGTCAGGATCGGTGCATGTGCATAGCTCTCTTCGCCCGAAAAGCGCTACTCCACGGACCTCTCCTCGGGTGTGTTCTGACCAGCTTTCGACGCGAATCCAGCCGTTCCATCCCTTCTTTCGGGGGCGCGCAAAAAAAGGCTTAGCGATCCATGGACTTGGCGCGCGGTCGCAAAATCCATGGATCGGGGGAGGTGCCCTGCCGAAAATGCGGCCGGTGCCGCCTCGCTCGGCGGCGGAAATACGCGATGTCCCATGGAAACGGGACCTGTCGCTAATCCACGCCCCCTTGATCCATGTTTGCGATCGCCTGATTCTAGGCGGCCACATGTGAGTGCTACCCCCACCCTCCACGATTCGTGGGGGGGACGGGGGCTCCCTCTGCTCGGGAGCTCCCGAACGAAACGAAGACCCCACCCACCTTCGAGATCGTGGAGGGTGGGGGTAGGGCTCACATGTGACCACCGGCCTTGCTACTCCTCCTCCTCCTTTTTGGACGCCCGAACTGGGCGCGGGAAAAATGGGTACAATGCCCCAACAACAAATGTTGTCCCAAACCAACAGCGACCGCTGTTGGGCAGGCGGCCTTGAGCCTCGAATGGACACGGGCCGCGACGGCGTGGACAGCGAGCCCTGTTCAAAATGAACAAGATCCGCTGTTGGGCATTATGTACCCATTCTTCCCGTGCCCGTTACGTTCGTGCAGATAGATCCTTCTCCTCCAAGGGGCAGAACATTCGCATGCCGGCACAGATTTCTTGGGTCGGCGATGGGTCCCCCGTCTCGCGCTCCTTGCCCGGAGCGGGGAGCGCGCCCGAGGCGGCACCAGGAGGCGCCGCGACTGGGGTCTGAGCCTCCCCATGGGGACCAGAGCCCAGGCGACACCCGGGCGCGGGAAGGGTTAGGTCGGGCCTGTCCCCCTACAGGGGGATTCTCGACGACAAAAAAAACAACACCCCAATAATAATCCAAAAATAATCCGAAAATAGCCTGGGAACTATTAGTTGCATATTCTTTGCCCGTTTTGGGGGCACTTTGGGGATATCTTTTATTTCTCGTCGAAAATCCCCGCGTAGAGGGACAGGCCCGACTTGAGGGAGGGTGGGGGGGGCCCGAGGCGAACCCCCCGACAAGCCCCTGGCCCACAGCAGGCCGCGGGCCACCGTGCACGGCGGGCCCCCGAGCTCTCTATATTGAGGGATGAAATCATAAAACGACCCTACCCCGGGTTACAAGCGCGCGGTCTGTAAACCTCCTGGGAACCCCCAGAGCCTAGAGCCGCCAGGACGCGGCACACCACGCAGGGTTCACCCTGTCAGCCCACAGGAGCTTCAGCGCACAACGCCTCGTAAACCAGGGTATAGGGGCGTTTTTGTTGCCCTTGACTATCATGAAGGGGCCCTGGGACACACAAAAAAATACACACAAATCAAATAACCCCCCATATTTTCCCATATTTTCTGGGTTTCTGTCTCCCCGCCCAATTCCCATATTTTCCAATATTTTCTGGGAAATCGAGGATTAATTGTGTCTGTGTGTTTTTTCCCCTTCTGAACTATCAGCGCCGCCTTCCCCTCCCGCCGGCCTCCGCCGGCGGAGGGCCGCCCTCGCTCTGCCCCCATCGCTCTGCCCCCTCGCTCGGCCCGCTGCCCGCGCGCCCCTTTCGATCCCTCGAAGGGGGCGAGGAGCCCCGCCGGAGCGCCTCGCACAGGCCGAGAGCAATAACACAGCGAGCGCAAACTCTCCTCGGATCGGCGCTGGGCCTTCCGCGCGCTGGACCTCTCGATCCTTCGAAGGGGCGAGAGGCCCCGCCGAGGCGCCGCGCACAGGATCTTGGATTGTTGGTCTGGGGGGCGAGAGCGAGCCTCTTCCGCTCAAAGCTGGGCGGGCGACGCGCGGCTTCAAATTAGGGAGACAGGGCTACAGGAAGGCGGGGCCTCAGGCGGCCGGAGCGGGCGGGGCACAGACCGAGAGCAAAAACACAACAAGCGCAAAATCTCCTCGGATCGGCGCTGGACCTTCCGCGCCGCCGCGCGGGGCGCGCCAGGGGGTGGCGCGCCGGGGGCGCCGCCGCCAGGGGAGCCCCGCGCCGCTCCGAGAGAGATCCGCGCGGAGCTGCCAAAGCGAACGTGCATTCTCTTCGCCGATCATAGATCCCACCGGCCCTCTGGGCGTCGGTGGTTTAGGGCGTGTCCTCTTCCACCCCTCCTTCGTCCCCTTCGGGGAGGGGTGCACCCCTCCGCCTACTGGCCATCGCTCGGACGTCCATCCCCCTACCCGCCATCGCTCGGTCCTCGCCGAAGGAAGAATGCACACGTCCGAGCGCTGCCAAGCCTACCCCCTCCCCATGGACCTGGACAGGGGGGTTCGTGAGGTGTCGGAGCCCCCCGAGACGCTCCAAGGAGCCTCCACTGGGGGGGCCCTTCCTCTGTGTGCTGCCCGCTTCCCTGATCGAGGCAATTCCTCTGGGCATGGTTTCTGGATGGGCTTGCGGGGATTCTTTTAGTCAGCGGCCGCAGGCGAGTGCGCCAGCGGCGAATCCAGTAGAAGCGGGGCACGCAACCACGAATTGGCCTGAAGCGGCGGGGCGCAGCCACACCTAAAGCGGAGGCTGGTGGGGTTTCTTTGTTTTGGTCAGCGGGCGGACGCGTACAGCAGTCGCCAAGAGGGGGGTCCGGACTGGTGGGGACTCGCGAAGCGTCAACAACTTGTTGTAGCGCCCCCCCCCCGCCGACCCCACGCGTGCGCCGGTTGCCGATCGGCAGCAGCGGTGGCATGGCGCCACGCTCGCGCGCCCACCCACCCCCCGGGAGCTGCTGCCCGGGGTGCTGCCGGGAGGCCGCCGGTGCACCGTCGGGTCCAGCTATGCCCCCGCGGCCCCTCCCCTCATCCCAGGAGGGGGGGATGAGGAGGAGGAGGAGGACCAGTGTCAACCGAAGATGCATCAACGATGTGGCAATAAACGGTTTATGGTAAACCCTCCCTCCAAGCTCCCTCCAAGCTCCCTCCTCATACTTCACTACAAGGACTGATTTGCACTCAAGGGAAGACATAAGTGGAAGACAACCGTTTGAACATCTTGAACCGTGCCAGAAAACCATTCCTGGAACGTCCACGCTGCGAAACAATACGACTGCTGCGTCCTGACAATCCTGAACACAACTCCTGGGACTTCAGCACAGCGAATCAACGTGAATGTTGCGCCTTGCGCCCAGGCGAATACATTGTGCCAAACACCACTTCTGAGACGCCAACCATAAGAACACTTAAAACTGCGTTCAACTCTTAAGACGCATTTTGAAAAGGAACCGCCCTCCGTCTGTAACACCCTTGCAAACTTTTCGGACGGATGTGCGCGGCACTAATGCGCGAGCCACATGTTGAAAACGTCCCGCCCTATATCAACGAACCTCTTGCGAACTTTCAAAATGAATGCGCGCGGCGCTGAGGCGAGAACCACATTTTGAAAACGACCCGCCCTCAATCCGTGAAGCTCCTGCAGCTATTTCCACTCAGGGATCATACATAGTGACGAAGTCTCAAGCGAAGCGCCAAGCACACCCTACCGGTACGTCTCGGGGCGCGACATGGATAAGGTACGTATAAGGAGAAAGGACGGAGGAACAGGAGGCTGAGGGAGGGGGAGGAGGGATGAGGATGAGTAGGTTCCCCACACCCCTCCTCCTCCCCCTCCTCCTCCTCCTCCTCTTCCTCCTCCTCCTCCTTCTCCCCCTCTTCCTCCTCCTCCTCGTCCCAGGGCGAGAAATGGAGAGACGACAATAGGAACAATGAGAAAAAGCAGGCTCCTCCTGCTCCTCCCCGGCAACTGCTGCTGCTGCTCCTCCTCCGCCTTCTCTGCTGCAGCGTTGGCTTCGTTTCCGCGCTTCCCATGTTTCCGAACCGTGCTCCGACGTATCATTTACGCCGTTTCGGTCATTCGAAACCGTGCTCCCGCTGCAGCGCTGATCTCATGTTGCGCTTCCCGCTTTCCAAACCGTCCATTTGAATCTCCCGTCATGGGTCATTTCTGGTGTCCCTGTGACATTGCTGTGAAAATGAGTGGCGTTCTCGGCGCGAAACCATGCTATGCCGTGCTATACCATGCATCGAGTACTCTCGCTGGATCATTACCCTGTTCGACATCCGATGTTGCGAATCTATGGCGGAGGTCTATGCAGTGCTACGAGATTGGAAGGAGGGATCGGACGTCAGATATGACGCTTGCCCTCCTAGCTTGTCCTCCGCCTCCCCCTCCTCCTCCTCCTCCTCCTCCTCCTCCTCCTCCTCCTCCTCCTCCTCCTCTTCCCCCCTCCTCCTCCTCCTCCCCTCCTCCTCCCCTCCTCCTCCCCCCCTCCCTCCGCTAGATCACTCCCGCTCCCCGCTCCTGCCTCCTCCCCCCCCCTCCCTCCCTCCCTCCCTCCCTCCCTCCTCTCCTCCCTCCCTCCTCGAGGGTGGTTTGGGGGAATGGGGGGTCCTCCCTCCCCCTCCCTTCCTCCCTCCCTCCTCTCCTCCCTCCTCTCCTCCCTCCCTCCTCGAGGGTGGTTTGGGGGAAAAGGGGGGGAGGGGGGAAGGGGGGATACAGGGGGGGGGACACCCTTGGTCTGGACCCGCGGCGGCGCAGCCACGGGGGCCTCCCGGGGCGGGGGGGGGCAGAGGGCTCTCGCCCGCGGGCCGCCCTTCGGTGCGAAACGCCTGGAGGTATTTGTAGGGGTGGGGGGGGGGGCGAGGGGCACGGGGGGAGCGGACGGAGCGGGAGCCGCAGCCAAGAGAGAAGGGGATGTACAGCGAGCCTGTTCTGTGAGGAGGCGCGCGGCGAGGAGGCCAAGGGGCCTTTTGGAGGGCCCCTTCGGAGCTGTCCCGAGCGGGGCGGGGCCAGCGAGCGTGGACGGGGAGGGACCGGGGAGGCAAGGACGCAGGGGCATCCTTGGGAAGGTTGCCTACTCCAGATGTCGTAATAAAAGGGAGGGGGTCTGGACCCTCCAAGACAAGCCATTTCAGACCCCCCCCCCGTGGGAGAACCCTCCAAAACATCGTCCCCAGACCCCCCCAGGCCCTCCAAGATGGCCTGGAAGAGACCCCCCCCGAAATGTGACCCCCCTCCCTTTATTACGAAATCTGGAGTATACAGCGAACCCGTTCTGTGAGGAGGCGCGCGACGAGGATGCAATGGGGCCTTTTGGAGGGCCCCTTTGGAGCCGTCCGAGCGGGGCGGGGCCAGCGAGCGTGGCCAGGGATGGACGCAGGGGAGGCAAGGGCGCAAGGGCCTCCTTGGAAAGGTTGCCTATTCGGGGATGGACAGACCTCCCTTTAGTAAAACGTGGTTTAGTGAAGACGACCTGGGGCCCAAACCTGGCGGGCGCAGGCCTGGAAAATAACGGCCACGGCGCCCTCTCGAGAACCGAAGACGGACAATTCACCAATCGACGTGTCACTGTTGGGGGGTCTGTCCACCCCCGACCTATCCTTACCATGCGGGTCGACTGTGCGCAGAAATCTTCGGGGTCCGCGCCGCGGAAGAGGAGATGAGCAGAACGAAGGGATAGGCAGAAGGCAGAAACGAACAGGGAGCACGGGTCCTTCGGTGCAACACGCCTGGAGGTGGCTAGGCGTTGTTTGGGAAGGACGCCCATCCTGACTAATTATGCGGGTTGACTGTATGTTTTCGAGAGGCCCAAAGAATGCCCCCGAGAGGCCCCGCCCCCGAGAGGCCCCCCCCCCGGGAGTACCCAGAGACGCCCCAAGAGGCCTCGGCGAGAAGGCCCAAGCCGGCAAAAGCATCATTGATTTGTACCAAGGTGCTGGCCACATGTTCACCTCCTGGGGGGGGGTGTTGCTGGAGCAAGGAGGCGAGGAAGGCCTCGCCAAACTTGAGGGCACCTTGTGGGGAACAAGGCGCTGGCAGCTGCTGGCTCCCATGCGCGACTCGCTGACTACTTCCGCCAAGACGGCGGTGCAGCTCGCAAATGGAAGCGCGTAGGAGGTTGGGGGGTGAGATCGAAGTGGAACGGAGAGCGGCCCACCGGGAAATCGGTTTCGGTTTCGTGTTCGTGCGTGCCGTGCATGCGGGCGAGGCGAAGCTGCGTGGGCGGACGAGAAGAAAGTCTCCTGTGGCTGAGGCGCGGCCGGACCAAATGATTCTCCCTCCGGCAAGCGGTGGCCCGCGGTGGCCCGCTGGTGTCCCTCTTATGGCTGGGCCCTGGCCGGACCAAATGATTCTTCCTCCGGCAAGCGGTGGCCCGCGGTGTCCCGCCGGTGTCCCGCCAGTGTCCCGCCGGTGTCCTGGTGTCCCGCTGATACGAAAACGATCGTGAGACCGATGACGAAATCGATTGTAAGATCGATCGTGAGATCGATGGTGAGACCGATAGTGATATCGATCGTGAGATCGATAGTGAGATCGATAGTGAAATGAATAGTGATATCGATTATGAGATCGAGTGATATCGATAGGAAGATCTATAGTGGGATCGAATGCGAGATCCAGAGTGAGATCGACAGCGCAATCTATCGAGTGAGATCGATAGTGAGATCGATCGAGTGAGATCGATAGTGGGATCGATGGTCCCATCGATCGTGAGACCGATAACGGCATCGCTTGTGAGATCGATAGAGAGATCGATAGTGAGATCGATGGTGAGATCGATCGTGAGACCGATAGAGAGATCGATCACACGGTGCAATCTCACGCCGCTCGAATTTTATCCATATCCAGTGCGCCTCGGCCTTGCGGCGCCCCTTCCACGAAAGTCCAAGATGCCCTGGATATGGATATAAATATTGCCCGCATCCTTATCACCCGCAGGGTGGTCGTATAGGTAAAGATCTGGCCACACTGCTGATGGCATGAGGCTCTGAAGGGTACCCCACGACGGCCCCAAGACGCGCCCAGGATGCCCCAAGAGGCTCCCAGGAGGCCCCCAGGATGCCCCAAGAGGCCCTCCAGAGGCACCCAAGATGCCCCAAGAGGCCCCCAGGACTGCCAAGAAATTTCCAAGACGCCCCAAGAGGAGTCCAAGAAGCTTTCGAAAGACATCGGAAGAGACTCCGAGAGGCATCGTGAGGCGTATGGTAGTTTTGCTCGCCCTCCTCCCCTCCCCCCCCTCCTCTTCCTGATTCCTGATGCGCCAATTCGTCCTCCGTCCTCATCCTTCGCGCCCCCCCTCTCCCTCCCCCTCTCCCTCCTCCACCTCCTCCTCATCCTCCTGCTCCTCCGATTCCTCCTCCATCCTCCCCCTCTTGAGGTATATCCAACCCTTTATTCCACTGCATGCTCCCCCACATCCCTGACTAGGACATCTCATCCGGGCATCGTTTCTGGATTGGCTAGTGAGGTTACGCGAAGCGTCTAGAATCGGGGAGGGAGGACGGGGATGAGGAACGATAATAAACAAGGAAGACAAGACGGAGAGGATAGAGGGGAATGGTCCGCGTGACCTCCACGCTCTCCTGTCAGGCATGCTGGAGCAGGCGGCAGCCAAGGTCACTCGTCCCTTCCCCATCCCCTCCCCTGGCTTCGACCGAGGATCAAAACTGAGCGCAACCCATCAAGCCAACGATCAAGGCTGTACATATGCATATACACTATGCAACCAGATTCAGAGACAGAAAGAGAGAGAGAGAGAGAGAGAGATAAGAGAGAGAGAGAGAAAGAGAGAGGGAGAGATATGTATATATATGATAGAAAGACATATCTACGACTGCAAAGATAAATGTATCGAGATATATCAAGAGAGAGAGAGAGAGTGCGGCGTCAAAGACACGCGAACAGATCGCGGCAAAGCGGCGAAGCGCGGCTACCCTCATTCCTCCCTCCTCCCCCTCCCCCTCCTCCTCCTCAATTTCCTCCTCCTCCTCCTCCCTCCTCCTCCTCCTCCCCCCCCTCCTTCCCCCCTCCTCTCCCCTCCCCTCCACTCCCTCGTTGAGGAGGGCGCCAACTACTATACACCAACGCCGATCCTGGCCAAGGCCATACCCGGCCCAAAGTCGGCCTGGCCAATGTCGGTGCAGGTGCCTCCCTCCCATTCGGGACGCTTCAAAACCATGCAATGAGGGACCGCGTGGTGACCTCGGAATCCCCCAAAGGACCTCACCGCGCGTTCCGTCACTGCCCGGTTTCGGGAGGACCTGGGAGGCCCCAGTCGCGCCCTCGACGTCCTCGGAGAACGACTCGAATCTCGAAGCCGTGCGGCGAACCGAACTCCCCGCCGACTCGCCACGCGGTGTGCTCACCACGCCGATTCGGGGCGCCCGAGCTCGGGCGCCCCCCTCCCAGGAGGCGGGGCCCGCACTCGCTGGGGGGGGGGGGCGCGCCCGGACCTCCGAGGAGGCGACCCCTGCAGAAGCTGGGCGCGGTGCCCCGATCTCGGCCTCCGCGGCCCGCTGTTGGGACCCACGAGCATCAAGAACGGATCTCCGGGACCCGGAGGAGGCGGAGGAGGAGATGGAGGAGGGGGGGATGGAGGAGGAGGAGGAGGAGGAGGAGGAGGAGGAGGAGGAGGAGGAGGAGGAGGAGATGGAGAAGGAGGAGGAGAAGGAGGAGAAGGAGGAGGAGGAGGAGGAGAAGGGGGGAGGAGGAGGGGAAGGGGTCGGGACCTCCTCGATTGAAATCATATCGTCGGACGTCTGGGTGACTATCTCGTCAGTATGGCACCGTCCCTCTGGAGCAGAGCTGCTCTCTGGCCCTGGCCGCGAAGCGCGCTCGTCCCTGCGCCCTTCGCGTGGGGCATCGGAGGCGAGCTGGTGCGTCATCTCGCCCTCCTTCTGCTCGGCACGGCCTCGGCCTGGTCCCTCTGGAAGAAGAATGGGGGGGGGCGCAGCATCCCTCGAGTACCCCGTGCACTCGGCGGCGCTGCGCGGCGAAGCCTGATCGGTGGCTTCGTGCACAGCAACATCCCAGAAGCAAACAAGCACCGGCGAGAAGATTCGGTGGCAACTCATGGGAGCCTCCGATACCATCTTGTCTGCTCGTGCGAATCGACGCTAGTTGACGCTCAATCGACGCTAATCGGCGCTAAACGAAGCTAACCGACGCTAAATCGGCAGCATCTCATCGACTCCCAGACGTAATCGACACTACTCGACGCCAAAGACGGACTTGACAGGGTACGCCAGGCTCCCAAGACTTGCTACCGAAAGAAGAGCAGAAGGGGAGGGGGAGGACCAAGGAGGACAGGCAGACCAGGAGGGGCAGAGGGGGCTCTTGCTTCCCCTCCCTTCGGCTCCTCGCCCTCGTCCTGCACCCGCCCTCCCCTCCCCTTCTCCTCCCTGGCCCTCCGAGCCGCCAGATCTCTCCTGGGAGGGCCCGCGCTCGGGGGCGGCAGCAGGATTCTCGCGAGCTGCTTGACGTCGACGCGGCCGTCCTGCGGCAACAGGGAGCGCAGCCACGTCTCTGCCCTTCCTCTCCCCCTTCTCCTCGCAAGCCTTCTCCTCCTCATCCTCGTCCGTTGCCTCCTCTCTCCTCGTCCTCGTGCTCCCTCCTCCTTTTCCCCCCGTCACGTATCCTCGGGGCGAAAGGCACGACGCTCTTCCAACCACAAGATCCGCCCCTGCAAACGGCCTTGAAACCAACTCGCGCCCCAACATCCTGACGTCACGACCTCGGGACAGAGCAGCTGCAGAGTGCAAGACGAGAGCACCGGCGAGGTGTTCTTGGAGGGCGGCGCGCTGGGTGTGCAAGCGTTTGAGCGTTGATCCCACCACCGTCTCAGCGACGTTTCCCCCCCCCCCCCCCCGCGCAGCATCTGGAATCGAGGTGCACGATCTCGCGACCAGGCGCTGCCTGGTTACACAACCGACGGCACTGCCTGTGCAGCAGTGTTGGTCCAGAGTAGGGTGAGGGAGCGGGGTAGGGGACGAAGGAGAACCACCAGACAATGGCGGAACGCAATTCTTGGAGACAATCTCATGGAGATTCTTTTGCGCTTACTCCGACGCCGATGGGCGAGAACCTACCTGCTCTGCGCCAACATTGCGGATCTCCAATCTGCACCTGGTAGGTTTCCTTCTGGCTCCTGAGCACTCCCTCATTACAGTCTCCCAGACCTCGCAGCAGCAGACACCGTCGATGTCTGAACCCCGGTCCCACTAGCAGCCTCGTGGCATGACCTGTACCTCTGCGTAGGGCCAGCTGGTGCCAACAATCCAGCGCAGAACAAGCCGCGAAATCCGCAGGCCCTGTCTGCGTGAGTGGGACGTTTTTCCGTTTGGCTCCCCAAGCGATCCAACCGGATGGAAATCTAATAACGTCGTGATTGATCATTTCCCTGTCGGGGAGAGGGGGTGCAAGGAAACGGGGGGGATCCCCGGGGGGTGCTCCAGAAAGGGTGCTGGGGGAGGGGGGCCTGGGGGGTCCCGGTCCTGGGGGTTGGTACTGGGGGTCGGGACCCCCCCCTCGGAGGCGCCCCGCGTGGAGAAGGGAACGACGGGGGGTCGTCTGCCTGTGTGAACAGGGGACTTTCAAGACCTGTGCCCCGCCGCCCCCCTGTGGACGAGGGGGCCGCCACGACCCCGCTTTTTCATCCAGGATCCCCGCCCTCGGAGGCACCCTCCTCATTCTTATCTGTTGTGTTGGGGCCTCTGCGTATCTTCCCAGATGCCTCCACCAAGACTCAGATCCGCTCCGGGACGACCTTGCGTGACCACGGAGCGCCCCAGCATAGCCCAAGGGGCTCCGACGAGAGCCACAACAAGGGCTCCAGAGCGTCAGCGTCGTCGTCGTCTCCGCCGCCGCCGTCGTCGTCGTCGTCCTTCAGGGTCGGCGGCACTGGCCGCATGGCCTTCCCAATAGTGGCGGGGTTGTATCGGCGCTGTGCGGGTTCAGAAAAGAATGGCGGACGATACGTAATATTTTCCGCGGCTCCCGTGAGTCTGATTGGCACACGTGTGGTAGGCCAAAGGAGGAGGCCCCCAAAAAGACGCCGCTACCAAACGGTGAACTAAGTGGTGATTTTGCGAGCCTGGACACGAGATCCATCAAGTAAATAAACCAGCACAAATCTCCCTCCCTAATGGGCAACCTCCTGATAAATCAACTGTACCCTGACATGCGAACTCGCTCGCTTCGACGCAAACTTGACCCTGATCTTGGGGTGAACAACATTACGCCATTCCTCTCCTGGAAGATGCCGTGAAGTAGAGAAAGAAAATTAATGTCACGAACTGTGTCTCGAAATCCATGGCAACAGTTGCGCACGGAGCGCTCACAGATCCCCGTCGCTGTTGCAGCTTGCCGCATTGCCAGGAACTCAAGCCACTCATGTTGCCCAACGTTTCTGCCCAAAGCCGTCTTGGCATTCCCGTGGCCGACATGAGCCTTGATTATGCCAATATCGCGAACGTGCCTACAACTCTGAGATCTTCTGTCATATCTTAATTTGTAAACGTGATTGTTCCACTTGACCAAGTCAATATCGTTCACGAAATCTACCTCGCAAGACGGTGCGGGTCCGAGAAATGCTCGCGCAACCAAACGGTGCACCAAGAACTTCCGGACCGTGTGAGCTCACTTGCCAGCCACAGTCATTCCCTAATGCGTGGTACCTGCGTGGTGGGCCCAACACACCATCAGAATGGGGGCATTACGAGAAACAGGCATTTACACGGCGACGGAGTCGAAGCATGAACATACAATGATGCATCCAATCGAGAGATTTGGCAAACATTAAGCTTGAGCCAAAATGGGTTGAGCCAACATGGCTACGGAGTGCAGTCGCAATGACGATGCTGACGCTTATATATCCTCGAAGACAAACATTTGGGTGATCGGGAGGATGTTCGGGAAACAACTTGCATGTCGACGTGCATGTCGATGTGCAGTTCGACCTTACTGCAAATGTGGATTTCGGTGTGCATTCCGATTGTCAAGAGATGTGTCGATTTGCACTTCGATGTTCACTTCGATATCGATTTCGACGTGTCTGCCTTGCTTTCTATCTTCAACTGAACTGTCATTTGGATACGCATTCCAATTTGCACCTCGACCTGCATTTCAACTTGCATTTCGATGTGCGTCAGAGTGAGGGGGCCGAACGGTCATTCATTGTTCCTGGAGGCGTGGCTGAGAATTCTGCTTGTTGAGTTGTTCTTGTTGTTGTTGTTGTTGTTGTTAATGTTTGTTGACGTCGTTCCACCCGAGACCCACCCGCGACCCACCCCCAACCCGCGACACACCCGCGACCCACCCCGCGACCCACCCCGCGACCCGGCCCGCGACCCATCCGCGACCCATCCGCAACCCACCCGCGACCCACCCCGCGACCCACCCGCGACCCATCTCGCGACCCACCCTCAAGGGAGGAAAACCACCCGGACCCGACAATTGACGCTTACTAAACGGCCCTGGGCGTTGACTAAACAGCCCTGCCCTGTTCGATTCATTCATCGTGCGTTTACCAAACGGCTTCGCTTGTCGGGGTGATTATTATGGGGTGGATTTTCTGCCCTCTACACCCGCGACCCACCCGCGAACTAACAACGACCCACCCGCGACCCACCCGCCCGCGACCTATTTGCGACCCACCCGCGACCTACCCACATGTCTTAACGGAAAAGTGCGCCCGCGGCGGGCTCGTTGTATAATTAGTACAACTTTGGCGCCTGCGGCGGGCTTCTCCAGAGTCTCGTAAACTGCCGACGTCCCCACCGCCCCCATCACTCTTATCCGCATCTGCGGGGTGCTACGTACCATTTGCACTTGGACGCGAATTTCAAATGCGTGACCCATGGGACAAGAACGGGACAGCCGTGGGACAACCCATGGGGTAACCAGAAGACATCTCACCAGACAACCACGAGACAACCCCCGACACAGACCACGGGGCAACCCACGAGACTACTCCCTGGACGCCCTGACATCGATCGCGGGACACCACACATGGGAAATTCACGGCGAACTCACGGATCGCTATACCAAGGTCCCGCCGCGCCCAACTGCGCCGCACGGGTCCGCGCCCACGGGCGCCAGCTGAAGAAGCAAGTCCAGCTCAGCGCCTGCGCCAACCCGGCCCTCTCTCCGGCGGAGGCACGCCCCGCCTCTCTCGCTCGCGGGCACGGCCTCGGAGCAGCTGCAACCAACGTTTCGCCCCCCCAATTCCCTCCCTCCCTCGTCCTCGTCCTCCCCCTCGTGGGACGCCTAAAATGGTTACGGAAGCAGTGGGTACGATGCCCATCAGCGAATGCTGTTCAAAACTGTCAGCGGCCCCTGTTGGGCAGAGGCCTTTTGCCTCTGAAGTGGACAGCGTCCGTGGCGACACCAGCAGCGAGCCGTGCCCAACATGGACGGGAACCGCTGCCGGCCTTCGCCACCGTTCCTTCCGTGCCCACTTCCGATCCTCGGTTTGGACACCCGAAATGGGCATCGAAATAATGGGCAACATGCCCAACAACAAATGTTGTCCCGAACCAACAGCGGCCGCTGTTGTGCAGGCGGCCTTCTGTCTCAAATGAACACAGGCCGCGGCGGCGCGGACAGCGAATCCTGTTCGGAATGGACAGGAACTGCTGTTGGGCATCGTACCCATTCTTTCGGTACCCATGTCGGGCGTGCAGACTCGGGACCCTCCTTCCAGGTAACCCGACGCCGCGCACGGCGCCCCGCGACGCACGCTCCTCTTCCCGCTCTCGCGCCCCCGCCGCCACACCCGCGGGAAAGGGCCACCGGTCTCACACCCAGTCCGCGCCGCGCGGAACGCGCGGTCGCCCTCGCGCCCCCGGGGGGGGGACCTTCATCCTCGTCCTCCTCGCCCCTCGCCCTCCTCCTCCTCCGTCCTCGCCCCTCGCCCTCCTCCTCGTCCCCGTCCTCGGCCGACGCCCGGCGACGCGCCAGTCCCGTGGGGGGAGACGAAGGACGGCGCCTGCGCTGCTGCTCCACAAGGCCACTCCCGGGGTGCGGCCAGGCCAGGATGCCGAGGCGAATCCGGCGGCTGGGGACGGGGCCCAGAAGGGGGAAAAGGAAGGACTGCGAGGCGGGGATTTACAAATATCCACCGCCTGGGAACCGACGTCCTGGTGCCCCAGCGGGCGGTGGATATGGATTTGGAGATGGATCTGGATATATATATATATATATATACATATATATATATATGTACATATATATCTATACATATATATATACACATACATGCATATACATGTGTGTATATATATATATATATTCATATATATATATATATGTATCGGCCCCTGGTGACCCGAAAATGTCCATATCCACCGCCTGCCGAGGCTCCGAAAACTGACCCTCCAGGCGGTGGATATGGATACATTCCCGCCTCGGAAGGGTGGCGGTATCAGAACTGCTCCTATCTCTGAATCCTCCTCCACATCCTCGGCCCACAGTCAAGCCGTAAAATAACGACGCGCGATAAGGATGCAAGGGCCCTGGGAAGCCAGGCTCGACACTTTGCGAGCGGGGCGCGGCCAGCGAACGCGGCGCAGGATGGGCCGACGGGGCAAGGATGCCAGGGTAATCTTGAAATCCGCCCATCCTTACAATGCGGGCTGACTCTAGAAGGTATCAGCTCCATTTCTGTACAGTGGGGGCCAGTCCACAAGAAACCTTCCACCAGAAACCCAACCCCGAGACCCCAGGACGTCCACTGACTTCTGGCGTGCAGACGTCGCGCCTTCCGTGGCAGCACCATCGAAACCCAGGAAACCCAGAGCACCCTGGAGGCACGCAGGGTGTGTTTCTTGGCATGGGCCTCCACTGTGAACATACACTGTTGAAGGTCCGCGCGGATGTCATGTCTTGGATCTGCGCTAGGGGCCCCTCCCTGGCGCGCGGAGCGAAGGCCTCGCGGGCCTGGACCCCGTGGATACGGGGCGCTTTTTTGCTCGCGGCTCCCCCCCGCGCGGAAAGCGCATCCGTGCGACCGCGCCTCCGCGGGGTCGCGCCGCGGGAATCTTCAGGCCGCGACGGTGCCCGAGCAAGAAGTGTCCACGGCCCTTCGAGGATCGAGGGCCTTGGAGGAACTGCGAGGGTCGAGGCCATTCGAGGGCCCGGGACCCTGGAGCTTCGAGCATCGAGGAGCCTCCAGGATCGAGGATCCGAGGAGCCTCGAGGATCGAGGCATCGGCGGCGGAGGGCTGAGGGCCGAGGGCCGAGGGACTCCCAGAAACTTTGAGGGCCGAGGGCCGAGGGACTCCAGGTGCAGACCCATGGCGGCGAGGCGGTGCAGCATGACAACGGCCACAGCTGCGGAATTGCCCTTGCCTCGCACCCCCTCCCCCCAAAAAACCCAAAGCGGGAGTGTCCACGCGCTGTCCCTGGCCTTCGGCCTGTCGCCCAAGCCGGTCGACTCTGGTCCTCGGGGGAACGGGGGGAGATGCATGTTGGTCCGGCGCGCTTTGGTCAACTCGAAGTCTCGGCGAGACACGCGTGGACCCTTTTCGTCCACCCGCCAGAGGGCGCGGACACAGTCGGGGTTGATGGGAGAGGACACGCGAGAGGACACAAGACCCTCCGGAGGGCCACATTGCCGTAGGAATGTAAGAAAGCATGGGTCGCGAAGCTCAGGACACAAGTAGGGAACCAAAACTCTATACACCGACGCTTTTCCCGACCCTGCGCTGAAATTCGCACAGGAGCCCTGGTGTATACATTCTTCGTTGCTTCCCCGGGAACATGGAGACAAAAATGTACACCACACCACCCCAACGTCGTCCTGGGATTGAGCAGCCGCCCGCCACTGGTAATGTATATATGCTCCAATTTCCGAACATGTTTTTTGATCCGCGGGTTGAAAGCGCACCTCTTCCAGTCGAAGCTAAGCGGGCCGCGCGAAGCTTGAATTTGGCAGAGAAGAGGAGGCAGGAAGCGGCGGAGCCTCAGAGGGAGGCCGAGAGGAGGCATAGCCTCGGATACAGGCGGTGCCGAAGCAGAAGTTCTTGCAAAGGGACGCCTTCGGCAGGAGCCCGGTGGCGAAGCACCGGAGAAGAGCAAAATGCCCAGTGTCCGAACAAGGGTACCCTCGGGGCGACGATATCTATACATATCCACTGCTCCCGGCCAGGCCAATCCTGGGCCCAAGAGCTGTGTATACGCCCTCCTGGCTTGGCCAGG